GGAGGCAAAGAGAATAGGGAAAGAGAATAGGCACTTGAGGAACTAAAAAGTAGTAAGTGAAGGAGGCACACAGGAACTAAATATGAAATCTTGTTAGTCATTTAGTAATTTCATGCACCCAGCTGTTGAAGATATCATTTAGAATGTCAGAAATCCCCACCTGGTATGAAGTTGCAAAATATTTCTGGATGCATTCCTTCATGGTAACATGGATACCGGCCTTCATGAGAAGCTCATGAAAACTCTTCATGGTTCTGTGGAAACTAGCACAGCCTTCTGGTGGCAACCAAGCCTGGATGTTTTTAACAACATCATGGTAGGCACCTGCCGATTCAACCAAACCCAAGGCAAGACACAAACCCAGGCAGTCCTTATCCAATACAGGGGAAGCCCCAAAAGCAAATGCTTCTTGCAAAACCAGGCTTGCCACAGTATCAGTTACTGCGTTTCCAAAATTCTTGAGTTCCTCAAAAGTAGCAGGAATAGAGTCAGAGACAGCACAGTTTGCAATAACTTCAGCCAAACAGTCAAAGCCAGTAGAAGCACCAACCACGTCCTCATAGTCCTTTCGGATGTCCACATGCGACTGGAGCAGTTTTGCACTGATCATTTTTGGTCCAAAGGCATTGATCACTTGAAATGCCTTCAAGGTGGCTTGTGCAGAATCAAAACCAGAGCTCTCCAAGCTTGTCATGATAATGAACAAGACAAGAAAGACAAAAGCTCTAATCTGGATCTTGTTGTGAATGAGGGTATGTGGAGTGATTCTGGTGACGAAGACATCAACTTGTAGAGCCCACCTGTCCCTCTCTGCAACAATATTATACTCAAGTTTCAGTGTTGACACCAGTTGAGATATGAGTGCAAGTTTGGTGTTTTTGGTCTTTGTCTGGGTGGGGGTGTGGAGGGAGAACTGAAACCTCGTCCTTTTGCCCCCCCTCTCCTTCTTAAACTGGACTCCAAATTTTCTCTTTCTTGGAATGGGAGGTGGAGTTAGCACAATTGGCACAGCTCGATTCTCTGGGGTTGCACCACCGCTGTGGTTTGGGCTACCTGGGTTGCTGGAGGTTTCATGGTTCCAAGGAAAGCCAAAGTACATACCCGAAGCTATCCACAGGTTTGTGAGAGGGAGTGGTTTGAAAAGCACTTTACCTCTTTTCAGAATTAGAGAGTCTGCAGAAAAAGCCTCTGGAGGGGTAAGTGCCAATTTCATTGCACAGCGTTTGAAAGCTTGCTTAATACCTTCATCAGAGATCAGCTTGACATCATTATCAGAAAAGAGGTTCTCCAATAAAGACAGGCAGTCAAGGTGGGAATGAGTTGTCTCATATTCAATCTCAACCTGTTTCCAGCCCCGTGTCACTGTGTCCGTGGCAGCATCTTCAAATGTCTTGCCATTCTTGCCAAAAGGCTGTAGGTTCAGCTTTTCCCCTGCAAAGTCTGCAAGGTTCTTTCCAACCAAAGTAGAGAGCAAGGTAGAATCATTCCATTTGGTCCGGTTTGGGGATCCAGATCCAGTCTTTGCAAGTTGCTTCCACTCTCCTCGAGAATTGGTTACTTTGATCATGTCCAAATTCACGGTAGGAGGTGGAAGAGGTTTCAGATTGGGGTTTTCCACTTCCACTACACATAGATCATCCCTTGGATACCCAACATCGGCTTTGTAAGAGTGAGCATCAGTGCACCCAAGAAGATGGTGGGCTCCAAGCCACTGCCAAGCCAGATCAGTTTTTGGAAGAAAACCCACCCTGTCATGGAGTTTGAAGTCACCACCAAAGAGATCCTTTGGAGTGACCTGTACCAACCCAAAAGCGAGTTCTTGAAGCTTTCTCACCAGTTCCCATTGCACCTCTCTGTTCTCCCTGTTTGGAGCGTTGCAATAATCCTTGACCCAGGAGGTATCAAATACATTTTGAAACCATTGATACCAGTCAACAGGGCCATCATGAACCCTCTTAACCAGAGCAACCAAATGCTTTGAAAGGGCCTTGGTGGAGAGGTGAGCCATGTTGGACCTCTTATTTTCGGCAAGCATGGTTTGGGCCTTGTGCCTGGTTGGGGTGGCAGGAATGTAAAGTTGAAAGGAAATGTGAGTTGCTTCCTCCTCCTCCTCCTCTTTTGCTTTGCCCTTCCTGGAAGCAGCACCAGTGGCGGATGCCTTCCTGGAAGCAGCAGTGGCGGATGCCTCTTCCTTGTCCGCGGTTTCATCGTCTTCGGCTTCATCTTCTGTTTCTTCCTCCTCTTTTGCTTTGCCCTTCCTGGCAGCAGCACTGTTCTTGGCTTTGAGCAAGCCTTTCTTTCCAAGGATTTCTTCCCAAAGACCTTGTCTGATGCCTTCAAAGAATTGTTCTTGCAGTTGTTCCATTTTGGCCTCTGTTTCTGGTTTTTTGTTACACTGGCCAAACTCTCTTTCGAACAGTTCCATAAGTTGGGATTTGCTGAGTGTTGGATTCATGACGCGAAGACCATCAATGAGGAGGAAGGCACGTCTCAAGAACGCATTGAAGACCTTCTTGGAAGGAAGATGGGATAGTCGCAAGCCCTGCTCTTTGGATTCCTGACGTCTTTCTTTACGACGCTGTTCAATCCCTTCCTGGATCTTCTTCCATGTGGCCCCCCTAAAGTCCTTCAACTCAGGCATCCCTTTCTCAAAATCCCAATCATCAATGGATTGACGGGTTCGTTGTTTCCAAACCAAGTCCATCTTGTCTTTCTCAACAACTTTGGCAGCATAGGCCAAAATACAAACCAACTTTGAGTAGTCCTTGTTGTAGTTCTGGTTGGCAAAAAGGCTGCATACTTCAGAAAGCAGGACTTCTTCAGAAGGCAGGGCTTCTTCGTTGGCACCAACCGGCGGGTCATTGGCATCGTCTACATTGTTGTTGGCATCGTTGTTGGCATCCACTACATTGTTGGCATTGTTGGCATTGTTGTTGGCATCGTTGTTGGCAGTGGTCTCGGTGGTGGCGGTGGTCTCGTTGTTCGCAGTGGTCTCGGTGGTGGTCTCGTTGTGTGGCGGTGGTCTCGTTGGCATCGTTGTTGGCAGTGGTCTCGGTGGTGGCGGTGGTCTCGTTGTTCGCAGTGGTCTCGGTGGTGGTCTCGGTGGTGGCGGTGGTCTCGTTGGCATCGTTGTTGGCAGTGGTCTCGGTGGTGTCGTTGTTCGCAGTGGTCTCGGTGGTGGTCTCGTGGTGGCGGTGGTCTCGTGGCGCGGTGGTGGCGGTGGTCTCGTTGTTGGCGGTGGTCTCGTTGGTCTCATTATTGTTGGCATCGTCTGCGGTCCGGTTGTTGGTCTGGGTATTGTTGGTCTGCTGGGTCTGGGTGGTGCTGGCATCGGCATCCTTGTGGAATCTTTCAATAGCCTCCATACTGCTCCTTGCACAAGGCGAATCCTCATTCAAAGGCTGTGGTTGTTTCCATGGACTTCCAAAGACATAGTTGCATGCAAGCCAAAAAATGCCAAGGTACCGGTTCTTTTTCTTTGCGAGCTTGCTAGCATGAAAATGAGTATGCCCTTCCTCCTGGTAGAAACCTGCCCCATTGGGAGGTGTGATTGAGATTCTCAGAATTGAAGTGAAGGTGTCCTCGTTTCCAGCGTACGGAAGTTTGCCTTTCAATATATCATGGAGCAACTTGCAATAGTGTTGCATGTCTGGATGCTTTGGTGCAATCGAATCAAGCGAAGCAAATTCTTCAAAGTCCAGCCCAAAGTCCACCCGAGACACAACCCTTTTATTGGGAGGGATCCTTTGAAGAAAAGGCTTCCAGCCATCCTTTACTGCTTCATAGATCTGAACTTTGAAAATATCGTGTTGAGGAGGACACGTGCCCATCATGGTGTACACTGCATACCAAAACTTTGCCATTGTGGTTGCCATTGGCATGGTACAGTGCTCCTTGTTGTATCCAAAGTGGTCGGGATTAGAATGTGCAAACCGACCAATCAGTGTACAAAGTTCCTGGTCTGATGTACTGATTGCAGCTTCCAGGAAAGATTTCCAAGGCTGGTTCTTCCTCTTTTCTTTGCAAGCCTCGTTAAACTTATGTACATCATCAGCATTAGCTGGGTCGAATGGAGATAAGTCTCTGACATCATGTGTGTAAGCTTCTTGTAGCCTAGTCCAAGCATCCTCCTTGGCTCCTTTCCCAAGATCCACATCCATGTGCTTCATGAGTCAAAGTAATCAGCAGCTCAATGGCAGCTGATTGGTTCAGGCAGAGGGACAGTTTTTGCTTGCAAGCAAATCTGGTTTTGTGAGCCTTGAATGGAGTTTGGAATGAGCCCGTTCTTGGACGTTTCTCCGTTCTCTCCTTCCTTCCCAGTCTGTTCCTGCCAGTCCTGCACGTTTCTCCGCCGTTCTCTCCTTCCTTCCACGGTGGCTAAAGGTGAGCGTTGCCAGTCTGTTTCTGCCAGTCCTGCACGTTTCTCCGTTCTCTCCTCTCCTTCCTTCCACGGTGGCTAAAGGTGAGCGTTGCCAGTCTGTTTCTGCCAGTCGTGCACGTTTCTCCGTTCTCTCCTTCCTTCCACGGTGGCTGAAGGTGAGGGTTGCCAGTATGTTCCTGGCAGGAATGAAGTCTGGTAACCCTGATGTCGGTAACCATGTCTTTATTACAGAATAAATCCAACGTGGACTGGTTGCAGAGGAAAAGGCCGCGGAAACGCGAGCTATGATAAAGAATACTGGAAAGAGAAAGAATGCTTTTCCTGCCACGATAAAGGACATCCAGCCTCGCACTGTCCTGACAAAGGTAGGTGGTAGCGAGGTAGCTACGTAGCATGGTGGTAGCTACGTAGCATGGTGGTAGCGAGGTAGTCACGGTAGTCACGGTGGTCATGGTGGTAGGTAGCGACGTAGCGACGTAGGGTGGTGGCGCATCAATTCAACTCACCATAGTTCAACTCGTCATTGACAGGAACAGACTGGTGCAGACTGGCGCCAGGGCAGCCATGCTCAAGTAGAGCATGCTAGCTAGGGCGTGAAAAGCAGCCATGCTCAAGTAGAGCATGCTAGCTGCCTAGCTAGGGCGTGAAAGAGGTTTTTTTAAGGTTTGGCACCTCGTGAAAATTCAATGAAGCACCTGGTGAAACTTCAAGAAGACTGTGAAGCTGCTTGTTGTGGCAGCGTGCTTGTGTGAAGCTGCTTGTTGTGGCACGGAGTACGCGAGCCGCATGCGTATTACCCATGCGGCTCGCGCTGCCAACCCATGCTCGCGCTGCCAAACTAGGAGGTAGACCACCAGTAGAAGATTATCTAGCTAGGAGGTAGCCCGAGTAGAAGATTAGAAAGATCACGAGTAGATGATAATTAGAATTAGAAAGATCACGAGTCAGGAGTAGAAGATGAGAATATCACGATTAGAAGATCTTCAGTAGAAGATGAGAATACGATTAGAAGATCTTCAGTAGAAGATGAGAATATCACGATTAGAAGATCTTCAGGGACGACAAACGAACAAACATAAACTGATTAGCAACCAATAGCACAAGATGGATGACAGCAATGGCCATGACGGCTCACAGCCGGCTGATGGAATGGATCAAACTGGATTCCCTGGCAACCCCTGGTTGAAGGACCTAGGCAAGTGGTTGAGCGGATTTGACTGGAAAGATCATTGGCCCGGGGATGGCGAAGAATACGTCGAGAACAGGTGGAGTCAAAGCTTCATGGACCTCATAGGGGAACCTTACGCCACCACCATGAAGCTCCATAACAAGATGTACCTCATTGCCAAGGCGCATCAACCAGCCTTTGAGAATAATTTTTGGCCAATGGCAGTAACCCAGGCCCCCCACCCATCCAATGAAATGAAGCAGTTGATGCAAGAACTGGACCTCTCGTTCGAGGAAATGAAACAGGTGATGCGGGACCACAACCATTTGGAGGCTTCAATCTTCTACAACAGTGAAGACAACATTGAGCATGGCATTCTAACCAAGGAGGGTATGATCTCGCTAGACATGATCAGCATTTTCCCCGATAACTTGAGGGTTGACATGCAGAACTACAATACCTACATATGCGGGACAATTGCAACTGCTGCGGCCGTGGAGTGAACACCACAACGGAGACAAACTATAGCTAGCCAGTAACAACATGAAGTAGTAGGCCACCACTAGTGGTAGTCCAGTAACAACATGAAACTCTCTGCTTGTCTTGTAGGTGGTAGTAGGCAGTCTAGCTACAGTCTAGCTAGCTAGCAAATGCAGCACTGCTGTAGCTTCTCTACTAGCTACGGTTAGCTAGCTACCACACCAACCATGCTACCACACCAACCGTAGCTACCGTGGTAGCTAGCTATTAGCTAGCTAACCATGGTAGCTACCACACAAACCGTGGTAGCTAGCTATTAGCTAACGGTGGTAGCTAGACCCGCAGTAATAGCTAGCTAGTCCAGCGTTGCCACGGTTAGCTAGCTAATAGCTGTAGCTACAGCCTACCCTGTATCCCATACCCATACGGCCTGCTCTCTTCCCAACATGGATTTCGGATTCCCCCACTGGCAACCCTGGAAAAGACTCAGACTCACTCCAAAAGTCATAATGTAGAACAGGTTACTTTAGAAGCACAGAAGCATCATCAACTAAAGCAGCATCGCCATCGCCATGGGTACTAGGTCAAATGAATTCGACAAATCCCAGCTGGATGACTCAGACAACAACGATAAGGAAACAGGAGGAGAGAAGGAAACTGAGGAGGTGGAAGAGACGACAGACGACAACAGCATCAATGATGCTGTAGCTGTACCAGAAACAGAAAAGGAAACAGGGTTGGCTGAGGCTGAGGATGTCGGAAATGAAAGGGAACTGGAACTGGAAGAGACAAGGGAACTGGAACTGGAAGAGACTGACAATGAAAGCGAACTGGAACTGGAAGAGACCGACAACGACAGCGACGACTCTGACTGGTCAGCTAGTAAGCCCCGCACCAGGAGAAACAAGGCCAGGAGAAACAAGGCAAGGAGAAGCAACCGTATTCGGGTGCAGCTCTTGGAGACAAGGAGGCAACAGAACGAACAGCCCTTGGTGTTCTCTAAAACAGAGCAAACAAAGATTCTGCGGGAGCAAGCAAAGGAACGTTTGGAGAAATTGGAACAGGCGGAGAAGTCCAAGTGGCAAGCAAAGGCAGAGGAACAGTTGCGGAAATGGTCGGCGGTACCAGAAAATGAGCCAATGCTGTTGGTATCAATGCTTGCCTTGATTCCATTGAATAGGACCCCCTACCAGAGATGGATCGCTCCGCTCATTGTGATCTCTGAGGTTTGTGGTTTCGACATTTTCGATTTGGTATGGGGGCAAAAAGCTGGGAGGAAGGATGATCACAATGACCTCAGGTCAATGACACCAATAGAAACACTGGTCGATCGTCGTTGGGAGCTCCCAACGGTCCCAAACATGCAAAGACACCAACGGACCTTCGTGTGGAATTGCTACAGAAAGGTCTACGTCAAGGACTACCACCATGCCTCTAAGCGGTGCAACGAGATCTTCAGACAGCGCAACATGGCAGTAACATTGCCGGGATGCCCCACTTTCGACGCATTCTTGAGACTACACTTCAACAAAGGCCGCACTGTTCTCCACAAGCTCCTTTATTCATCCAGGACCTCCCACAGGAATGACGACAGGCCGTTGGTGGCAGAGTTCATCTCTACTCAGCTAGCAGAGTGTACCACAATTACAGAATTCGAGAAAAGGGTGGCAGCCAAGGTTAAATGTGGGTTGCGTGCTAAGATGGAGTGGTGGGGACAGCAGACAATAGAGAAATCATGGAAGAAAGGCAACAACACCAACGATTCCAAGTCCAAGTCGGACAAGTCCGAGTCCAACAACAAGCCCGAGTATGACAAGTCCAAGTCCGATACCTCCGCTACGTCCAAAGAAATGAATGCCAAAGAAACGAAAGAAATGAATGCCAAAGAAACAAATGCTACCACGACCAAAGCCAGCGACATGGCGAATGGCACTGCCACGGCAAACAAAGAGGCCACCACGGAGGCTAGCAAGGCTACCACGGACACGGAGGCTAGCAAGGCTATGACCGACTTGGAGGCTACCAACAGCAAGGCTACTCCGGAGGCTACTCCCAAGGCTACCAAGGCTACTCCCGAGGCTACCAACACAGACGCTACTCCCAAGGCTACCAACATGGAGGCTACTCCCACGGAGGCCAAGGCTACGACCGACATGGAGGCTCCCAAGGCTACCAACATGGAGGCTCCCAAGGCTACGGCCGACATGGAGGCTACTGACAGCAAGGCTACTCCCAAGGCAGACACTACCGACAAGGCTGCCACTGCTACGAATGCAACAGGCAACACACTTAGCAACAGCAGGAGCAAAGCGATACCAATAGCCATGGCTGAAGCTGAAGCGATACCAATAGCCATGGCCATAGCCTTACCGACTGATTCGGCTATGAACGTAGAGAATATCGAAGATGTGGCTACCTTCCATATGGCTAGGGTTACGAACGTAGAGAATATCGAAGATGTGTCAGTGCGGAGAGAGATGTTCCGGCGGGAGATTGACAAAAGAAAAAGGGAGCTCTCTACCAAGACAACTACCAAGACCAAGACTACAACTATCCGGCAGACCACCGTAACTGAGACGTACAAACCAGAGACGTTCAAACCAGGGACACCCTACCCAGTTGACCCGAAAAAGCTTGCAGAATTATGTTGCCAAATGGATTACAAAACACTCCTATCCGCGATAGAAAAAGAGGATGCAACTCTCGAAGAGATGATGGCTAAAGTGAAGAAGGACCTGGCTGCACAAGGCTTAGCAAGCTTAGCAACCAATGGCAAGCAATCAAAGAATGACAAACCATCACCCCAGCCCCAGTCAAGGAATGGAAAGCAATCGAAGAAGTCATCTAACGCCAAGCCCAACAACAAGCGGAAGCTGCCACTCAATACAATTCCCACTGGTTCGGGCTCAATCAAGAAGGCTAAAAAGGGGCCAGTAAAGGGCACTGTTGAAGGGCCAGTAAAGGGCCCTGTAAAACAACAGTGGATGCGCCGCCCGCCAATGATGGCTTCAAAGAAGCCATCTGTCCCCGCTGCGATTACATCTGGCCGCCTTGATATGAAGGCATATGAAGCAGCCATTGCGGCCCGTGATCCAGGAATCCTTCCCATTTTGAGTAAGTGGAAGACTATGTGCGGGACCAATGGATCTAGGCCACTGTACTATGCGACTCTGAAGGCACTGGCAGTCAGGGAGTCCTTGACTGAGATTTTTCTTGTGCACAACACTGAGCAGTTCCCTGCTTCGTTGGCAAAATCGTTGCTACAAGCACCCCAACGGTCCGTGGGTCACACGTACGAGAAACCAGGTTGCGATTTTGTCACTATGGCACGAGAAGTCATGAGTTACATGGAATCCTTCCTCCGGGCTTGCGATCTGTGGGGAGTGTCCATAATGCGGTACTATTGGGAGTTTTACCTGATGCAGGGGATGCAAAAACACACTGCGTCGTCAATGGACCCTCAGCTGCGGTTGAGGGCAATGCTTTTTTGTCTAGTGATCAGCGCAGCCAGCACTGACTCCTCTGCCATTGAGAGCACAATCAACCTCCACCGGGTGTTCGGTTTGAACATAGATCTCATGGCAGATGCAGAAGACAGCGACATTCTGACTTGCATCATAAAAGCGGGGATTGGTCCCAAACGAGCCAAGTACATCAAGGCCATCTGTACCAGATTGCGGGACGATTTCGGTGGGAGGATCCCCTGCTCCCTTGAGGTCCTGGTCACGTTTCCAGGAGTTGGGCGGAAGACAGCCGTGCTGCTTCTGTTGGAGGGCTTTGGTATGTGTGGAGCTGGCATCGGGACAGACAAGCACGTTTGCCATGTGTCCTATGCCATTGGCCTGTATGAGCTCCCAACAGATTTGAAGGCGCTGTATCCGGTCCATGTTGAAAACAGCCTCAGAGAGTGGGTGGCCATACAGCACTACAAGTCTGTCAATTGCATCTTTGGGTGCATGGCGCAGTTGCTGACCCAGGACATCAGCACAGTGACAAAAGGAGATGCCGCCGTGGATGCCAAGGTAAACTTTGTTTTGGCTGCCTTGTGCTCCCAGTTCCAGGTTGAATACAGCGTGGAAATCATTTGGTTCATCATTGGGGCAATCCGCCGGCATTACATCGTTTCCAATTGTGCCGTTGAATATGTGGAAGAGGCTGAAGGATTCAATCCTGACGCCGTTGATACAGGGGGGAGTACAGGGACAGACCTTGAGGCCCTTGATACAGCTTCAACAGTTCCAGTCCTCATGGAAAATGTCCCTGCGTGCAAATCTCCATTTGACCCTGCTGCTGTGTCCAAATCTCCATTTGACAACGACGGTGTGTCCAAATCTCCATTTGACGACCCCAAATCTCCATTTGACAACGATGATGCATAACTTCACAAAACTTGACAATGATGCATAACTTCACAAAACTTGACAACGACCTGCAGCTGACCAAATCTCCATCAAGGACTATCCAAATCTCCATTTGACAACACGACTATGCCTAAGATTCTGACCCCAACCTGAGCATGGCAGCTTTTCTAAGGCAGACTATGGCCAACCTGAGCATGTAGCTTGAATAGAGCTAGCTTGCTTGCTTGCTAATGTATCCTTTCTTCCTCCAACTGCTATCCTTTCTTGCCTCCTCGCCTCCAACTCTTTGCTATCCTTTCTTGCTGCGTTTTGTGCTTCCTCCAACTCTTTGCTATCCTTTCTTGCTACCTTTTGTGTTTTCGCCCTCCTGGGTCGTTTTGTGCTTCCTCCAACTCTTTGCTATCCTTTCTTGCTACCTTTTGTGTTTTCGCCCTCCTGGGTCGCAAGGTAGTTGTTCTTGTTGGCTTCCTCCTGGGTAGTTGTTGTTGGCTTCTTCTTCTTGTTGGCTTCCTCCTGGGTAGTTGTTGTTGGCTGCTTCTTCTTCTGGAGTGCGGGGACATGAGCCTGAGTTGAAGTCAAGGTGAGTTGAAATGAGGGTAAAACCCATAGTCAACTTTTACATACCTTCCCACTTGCTGCCGATTCAAGGAGGTCATCTGAATCCAAGGCGTCAGCATGAGCCTGAGTGGCAAGTCCGGTGAGATGAAAGTGTTGCTGGTGGAAGGGCCAAATTGGAATCGACTTATATGGATGGGTGGGGACTTACCTTCCCAATTGCAGCTATGGATGGGTGGGGATGCTTGGACCGGGCTGTGCCAGTACAAGACTTAGTAGGCATAATATACTTCAGCTGACCTTTTGGCTTCGCGGCGGGTGTCTTCTTGGAGTTCTTCTTGGAGTTCTTCCTTCCTTTTGGCTTCGCGGCGGGTGTCTTCTTGGAGTCCTTCATCACAATCCTTCCGGAGATGATTTTACCGGAAGTGCTCATCTTGGCAGTTGGCGAAGTGCTGTCCATTCTTGATTGATCAAAAGAAAAGAATGTGGGAGCTTGGTGTCAGCTTGATCTTGTGGGAGCTTGGTGGCAGCTCAGGAGAAATGCAACGGCTTGGTGGCAGCTCAGGAGAAAGGCAACGGCTGCGCGAGATTTTGGCGTACCAAGATATCGGTATGCTCATGGTTTGAATTTAAATTGAGATTTTGCTGTGATCAACCACCAAAGTTACAATCACACAAGTCGCTCACAACCCGCCACAATCACACAAGTACACAACCTGCCAAAGCCAGTCTAGTGAAAAGCTTCAGCTTCAGACAAAGCCAGTCAGCATGGCCCGGTCAATCCTGGAAGGAATGATATCTGCGTTGGGAAGTCCAAGTGCAGTGGGACTAGTTTATTCTATGATGGGAGAAGTTACCATGGTGGAGTATGCTGATTCCATGGCCCTACCAGTACACGAAGAAATGATGCGCAAAATCACGTTGCTTGCCTGTGGAGACGTGTCGAGTGTCCAGTGTGAGTACTCCGGTAAAACCTACTACGAGCGGCATCTTTACTGCAGACTTTACAGGCCACGAGGATGTGTGAGGGGACCAAGGGGAGCCGGCAGACAAATCATCATGGAGTTGGTGATGCAGAAGATCTCCGCCCATCACCAGCACTTCATGGACTCATTCGCCAACACCATCATTGAAGGCGACCCCGAAGGTTGGATGTGCGTGGCCAACCTGAAGTACCTCAGAGGTCTCAAGGCTGCTACTTATGGAAAGCTTCTCAACAGGGCGAACTGTTTGCGGATGCGGGACAATGTCGATGATGATGATGATGATGATGATGATGATGATGATGATGATGATGATGATGATGATGATGATGATGATGATGATGATGATGATGATGATGATGATGATGATGATGACGACGACCCCCCGGACGTTGACTGGGACAGTGACTGGGGGTGGTACTTGTTTCATAGTCTTGTCTGCCAGCATGATGATCTTGTGGGTGATTTGAATCTTGTCTGGGTGGATATTGACGCTGATTGTCCCAATCGGAGAATCCACCAAATCATCCACAGCGATCGGTACTGGGACTGGAGGTCGTACGTCATTGAAAGGCTGTTCCAGGAGGAGGAGCTGCAGGAGCTGCTGCTGTGGTCTCACAATGACAACCAGGACGACAACGAGGACGACAACAACGAGGAGGCCGAACTCGGAGGTGTTTTACCACCTCCTGCATTGGATCCGGAGTTGGATGAAATACGGGCCCAACTCGGAATACCTCCTGCTGCATTGGACAATGCAGACTTCATGGACTTCCTTGAGGCGGACTTCATGGACTTCCTCGAGTCGGGAGATGCAGACGAGTCGGAAGATGGATCCGAAGATGGATCCGAAGACGGAAACGAAGACGGAGAAGAAGACGAAGAAGATGGAGAAGAAGATGGAGAAGATGGAGAAGAAGATGGAGACGAAGATGGAGACGAAGATGGAGACGAAGATGCATTGCAAGATGGATCGGAAGAAGCGGACTGGGAAGATGGATCATTGGAAGTTGGATCGGAAGGAGACGAAGAATGGCAACAGCGTAACTCTTTCCTTGAACCTGATGCCGCTTCCGAGATGATGGAGGAGTATCTTACCTGGGCATTCCACCCCGACCCAGACGCATATCACCATGAACAGCAATGGGAGCAAAGCATTTACTGGGATGAAAATGCAGAACAGGACTATGCTAACATGAACTTCTACCACCACAGGACATCTTCGGACTGCTGGTCTGCAGTGAATTACCACATCTACTCTGTCATCAGACGCCCTCGCACGCTTGGAGAGATTGCAGATATGGGCATCCACTTGGAATTGGTCGAAAGTTGGTGAGTTCAGTGAGCTCACGTCAAGATGTGTGTGGGTTTCTTGTTGCCCACCGCTGCTCAATCAAGTTTCATTCCAAACTTTCAACTCACTAACCAGAGCAAAGAAGAACATGGCTGGAAGCAACGAATGAGAGTTGGCGGCAGAACTGGCAGAACCGGCAGAACAATGAGAGTTGGCGGCAGAACTGGCAGAACCGGCAGAACAGACTCGAGAAGTGGGAACTTGTGGCATATATATCGCACTGACCTGACCCAAGCAAATTACTTTAACTTGATTAATTAACCTGACCCTTTAACTTTAACAAGCCTGGGACCCCATTGTGGAGTGTTTCTTGCTCAAGCCATGCTCAAGTAGAGCATAGCTAGCTAGGGCTACAGAGGTGCAGAGGCCGCTAGCTAGGGCTACAGAGGTGCAGAGCGCATGGGCCACGGACGCAATCGTCTTGGCGCCTTGCCTCGCCACTCCTTCCAACGCTGGGCTACAGAAGAGCTCAGCGGTTGTTTGAACGTGGAATGTGGAATGAACGTGGAATGTGGAATGATGTTTGGCTCCACTGTGCAGGATGGCAGGCGCCGGTTTGGCTCCACTGTGCAGGATGGCAGGCGACGGTCAAAACGTTTGGCTGCAAGATGGTTTCTCACCACCCCACCACCACCACATTTGGCAGAAACCACCCTACGTGAACGAGCAGAGCAGAGCAGAGCACAGCCTCTCACAAAATGAAGCAAGCTAGTTTTTGCATCAACTCTGCGCGTCCACCTCTGCAACAAACCTCTACTCCAATGTCCACTCCTCCCCACGCCGAGGCCAAGTGCCAGGAGTGGTTCTGTGCCATTGTGGAGCAACTTGGCATCCCATTTCTTTATGATGGAACTGTGAACGGACGTGCCTACTTGCGCACCACTGGCCTCATTGAAGGCCTAACAGCCATCCGGGAGCAGTACCTCCATTTCAAGCAAAATGGGCATGCCCAAAACAAGCAACAAGCTTTAGGCCTCCTGGTTCGCAAGATCCAATTCAATTTTTTTCTCACTCTTGAAGAGACTGGGTACATTGCTGGATGCACCCTACACCCATCTCATTACTTGAAACACAGTGACATCGTTACCTTGTATGGTTAACTAACGCATTGCAATAACATATTTTATAGGGAGTTTCATAAATGCCTTGTTGGCTGTTCACTGTTGTCTCCTTCTCCTCCGTTGTCCTAGTTTGGCCTGTGTCCATAGCCATTCTAACATGCATAGCTCATCCTCACATAGAGCTAGTCTGTGTCCATCATTCTCACATAGAGCTAGTGCCTAGTGCTTAGTGCCACTTCTTCTGCTCATCCACCAGCCGCAAATCCTCCACCAGACAAGACCTCTGCCTTCGCCGAGGACTACCTTCAGGTTTCTGTAGCAAAGAATGAAGCAAAAAAGGTGAGTCCACACAGGTTGAAGCACAAGTAACAAATGCAGACGCAGGCTGGCTACATACCTCCATTGGCATCTGGGAATAAATGATTAGCATCTGCACAAATAGAGGCAATAAAGCAGAAGGAGCTACATACCATGGAATTGCTCTTGTTGCCTCTTGGCCTTGCGATTAAACCTCTTTCTGGGCTTCACACCTGGGGATTTAATCAGTTGAAAACCTCGCAAGGCAATGATCCAAGTGACACTCACTCCCAAGACATCAACCTCTTCTGGCTTGCCATCCTCATCCTCGATAGTTGCTACATCACAGATGGGCTTGATCTTCTTTACGAGATCAACAGGATTTTGCGAGAAAATATAGTTTTCCAGGGGTTGTCCAGGAGGGAACACAAACAACCAATAAGAATATTCCCGTTCAGAATCTTTTGCGATAGCTGTCTCAGTTGATTCGTGGACTATCTTTGTCTGCTTGTCAACAGAGTCATCATCTTCATCATGATAGACTTCAGCTCTGTGGAACCTGTTTTGGGATGGGCCCTTCACCTGAACACATTGCCCATGCAAGGGGTGACCCTCTTCAAAATGCATGGAGGCTGACCAGCGATCTGCTGCATCTCCTAGGGCTGAGACAAACCACAAATATGTAAGCAGCACATCAGATAGATGGCCAGGTGAGATGGTTCAGGTTCACTTACTTGTTTCCTTTCGAATTTCATAAGCACTGCCCTGGTAATTCTTCCACACCATGTGAGACAGGTAGGATATTTCAAAGCCATAGTGACGTTCTGGACGAGCAGGGTCCACAATGCTGACGTATGGGGCATCTTTCGTACCATCCTGCCTCATTGATCCTGTTGGACTTGCCAACGCTGCAATGCGCCTTTCAAGAGCAGCCTCATCTCCAGTATGGATGGACAGGTTACCCAAACCATTTGCAATAGCCTCAGTCATTTTTGGTTTGGTAGTTCGTTGAGTTGGTTTGGGACTTGGTGTTGTTGTTCTAACAAAGACAGCCGCAACAGGAGGCTGGCTTTTTGTGAAGGCCTTGGTCTTGATGCTCTTGGCGGAGATACTGCCGGTGTCGTCCTTGTATTTGCCGGTGTCGTCCTTGTATTCGTCGTCGTCGTCCTGGTCCTTGTATTTGTCTTTGTCGTTGTCGTTGTTGTTGTCGTTCTCTTCCTCGTTCTCTTCCTGGTTCTCTTCCTGGTTCTCTTCCTGGTTCTCTTCCTGGTTCTCTTCCTGGTTCTCTTCCTCTTCCACTTCTTCCGCAGCAGCGTCCGCGTTGGGGTTGTTAGCAGCGTCGATGATGGCGCGTAGTTCACGTCTCACTCCCTCACCAGGTACCACACCCTTGTCGTCCAACACTGCACCAATAAAGTAGAAGAATACGTGAGAACTTGTCATCTTGGACCTTGACCTTGGACCTTGGGACTTGGGACCCACACAAGTTGGGCATAGAGCCCAATGCGTACTTACCTTTCAAGTATTGCTGTGGTGTACAACGTCTTTTGTAGTAATAGAACCTTCTCTGTAGGCCTCGACGCAGATCAGATCCCTTCTCTCCGTACGTTGAAGGCTTCTCCTCTACCAATTGTTGGAGGCTGAACTCCTCTCTGGTTTTGTTACTGGCCTCCACGTCCTGGAGCAAGCTTTTTATGACATAATCTGGTAGCGACATGATAAAAAGAGGAACAAGAAGAAATGGGTTCCCTTGGTCCATCAAAACTTTGCCGCAATTTTTTGCGATCCTCAACTGACTCTGGCAGCTACTTGAAATATGGTTATTTAGCAAAACCTTGGATTCCTGCTCGTATGTGAAAAGCTTTCTATGCTATCTATAGAGCAAAAATTGCAAGCTGCAAGCTTCAACCGACTCAACAAGTGGTATGTTTGGCAGCTACTTGGAATATTGTTATCTAGGAAAACCTTGGATTCCTGCTATAGTTCCCGTGTGTGCAAAAATTACAAGCTTCAACCGACTAGTTGGAGATGTCCAAGGAAAATCTTGGTTTCCTGCTAGAAAACCTTGGTTTCCTGCTATTACTCGTGTGTGCTGCAACCGCAAATGCTGCTGCAACCGCAACTGAACTTGTAGCCGACTCAGGCAGGACCTTCTGGGTACCTGGGTCAACCTCCAAACACGAATTACATACATCACGCCCAATCTCCGGTGACATGGAAGCTTTGGAGCTACACTGTAGCTATGGAAGCTTTGGAGCTACACTGTAGCTAGCTATAGCTACATCTATGTCAAGCTCCCAGAGCAATGCCAAACCCGAATGCATGCCGACACGAATGAATACAATCGGTACCAGCTTCCAGCAAGTTGACTACCAGACCAGCTACGGTGACTAGACTAACCAGACTAACCGAATCAATCTAACCCTGCCACAAGTAATTTTATAATCTTATTGGGCCATCCTGGTACATGGGTGGGCGTGGTACATGGCAACATAGGCCCACCTTCTTGCGACCTACTATGGGACGTCTTCAGTTGCTGGAAGGCTTCAGTTGCTGGAAGGCTTCAGTTGCTGGAAGGCTTCACATCACATCAAATCAAATAGGTTGACAGTGCAGGACCAAAAAGAAGAGTGAGGGTGGTACAAGTCAATGTTGCTGAAGTCAATATTCAAGTCCTGGGTCACATAGAGAGACTGAACAATGAACATTGCGGGGTCCTCCTCGGTGTAAACAAATTCCCTTTCATTAACCAAGGGGAGATGATCCAGACCAAATCCTGCGAGTTCAGGGCATTGAAGTGGGAACAACTACATGAGGTTGCACCTACATGAGGTTGCTTCTCAGAGGACGGCTGGAATTGTGAAACTTTGTCATTTTGACAGCTTCCTGACTTATTTATCAAACTAGGGCTAGCTAGCTAGCTAGACCGAAGCACTTTTGAATCGAATTTACAAGGAAGCACTTTGGAATCGAATTTACAAGGATTTCAACTCGTTTACACTACTAGCAGCTAACCAACCATGACAAGGGCCATCCAAGCTCGCTCAGATCCATGCAGCCAAAACAGTTATCACTTCCTACACTTCTTCCATCTTTAGTTGTGCTCCTCACGATCACTTCCTACACTTCTTCCATCTTTAGTTGTGCTCCTTGTGCTCCTCATTAGCCATCCTCAACACCCAGAGCTAATGCCTTCCATGGCATTCGGGTCATGGAGGGATCTCTTGGTCCTACCTTGCCAGTCCACAGACCGGTAAGTTTTCACACCCGAATCATCGTTTTTCTTTCGGGCAATGGTTAGCTCCGTGTTGATAAGAGCAAGAATCTCGGGGTTCCTGCGAACTCCACACTCAGCAAGTAGCTCAGCAAGTGCAACCATGGCCAGTTCCACGTCAGCATGTTGTTGCACAAGTGCGTGTTCAAAGCTTGTTGGTTCGGTCCATTTGTTACGGACAGAGCTACTCAAGACACGGGTTACTTTCTCCACACCCTCATGGGCAACAATGACATTGCAAGTTTTTTTTGAACTCTTGATGGCTCGGTTCATCCATCCAGTGCATCCCTTGTAAGTGCCCCTGATGAAACGGATTTCTTTGCCTTTTTGGGGTTCTTTGCCTTTTTGGGTTTCAGTTGGTCCTGACATTTTGAAAGCTTGCCTTCAGAAGATTATGAGCTGGTCTACAGAAGAGTTGGCTGTGGCAGATTGCTAGTTTGCAGAAGAGTTCGGCTGTCGCAGATTCTGGTGACGCTGTCTCAGAAATATGCTGTGAGCTAGTAGAATTATGCTGACCTAACCTTCATCCAGAATTATGCTTACCCTCATCCAGTCCTCTGTACCGGGCTTCAATTAAACCACCTATTGGCACCGGACTAGCATCTCCTCGCTTTGGGTTTTTTGTGTTCCACAATCCAGGCAGACAGAAAGGCAACACAGAAATGGAAGAATCGAACTGGGGACCTTCATCGCTTTGAGGTTTTCATGGGCCCACAAGGTGTCAACACAGAATCAGCTAGTAGTTCCAGTCCGTGGACCACTGGTCTCGCCACTCCTGGTACTAGCTAGTATCCCACTCTAGCTCTAGCGTCAAGTAAGTAAGTCTGCACATCTGCACATCGCCCTCTCCACATGGCCTATTGGCGAATGGAAGCAAAAATCCTTCTGGCGAATGGAATGCAAAAATCCTTCCCGCCCATCGCCATGTCCACAGGGATCCCTCGCTTCTCTAGCTTGAGAGCTAGCTAGCTACTAGCTGGCATAAATTGACCAACCAGGAATCCTGAAGGCAACTACTTGAAACACAGCAACTACTTGAAACACGCCTACTTACCAGCAAAAATGCTAGTGCTTTCACCTATGGATGTGCAACAACGGGGGCTGAAAATCATGAAGGTTCAACGGCCAGAGAGGAAGAACCAAAAATACCTACAAAGACAGTTCGGAAGCACTTTGGATCCTCACCCCTTGACTGGCTGAACAGTGGCATGATCTTTGTCACTGGGAGCAGGAGAAAGACAATTCAGAGTTGTACAAGCTTTGTGAGTGGGAAAATGGCAAGCTGCCAAAGACAGCCAAAATGGAGCAAGGCTTTCAAGGATTTCTAGCTGCCCACTATTGGTTGTGGACAAGGCCCAAGAATGCAGTAATGTTTGCTTCCCGTTTTGGATGCTGTGAGAAGTATGTACAAGGAAAGTATTTGTGGAGATGGATTGGGCGAATTGCATCCTTGGAGAAAAAGAAGATTGTTTGGGACGGATCCCTGGATGAAAAAGGCATGGAGATCTTTGCTGTTACGGCTGATGGGGTTGATTTCCCAATTTGGGAACGGAAGGATGCAAACCTCCCAATGGACCCCAAAAACATGTCCCACAAATTCAGAGGTTGTGGAGCTAAGTACGTCATTGTTTTGTCCACTCACCGATCCAAATGTGTTCACATTGCTGGTCCATTCCGAGGCGGAAAGGGTGATATTGACATACTAAGAGATACTGGCTTGATGGACAAGTTGGAGAGGAATAACAAAGTTTGTATTGTGGATAGAGGTTTCAAGACCAAGTATGTGCAGGAGAAGAAAGTGCTTGCCTACCTGACTACATTGATTCATCGGAGCTCACAACTTCAAATCCCGTGCACGTTGTCGACAGGAAACCTTTAATCGACGGTTGAAGCATTTTGAGAGTCTCTCAATCACTTTCAAGAATGGTTTTGAAAAGCAGGGAATTGCTGTCAGGGCTGTTGCTGTGACCGTCCAATATCAAATGGACAATGGCTCCCCCCTCTACGATACCTAATATTTAATAGTTCCAACCAATAATAACTAGACTAGTAGTATTTAGGAGAATTATGTTTACGTGTACGTAGTAGCAGCCGCGTGCCATGTGCCATGCCCAAGTTGTGTGCCATGCCCAAGTTGACGTAGCAGCACAAGTTGATGTACTGCTACATCAACGTGCCATGCCCAAGTTGAGCACGGTAGCTTCAATACTATAATTTCCTGTCCAAGTTGAGCATGGTTCCTGTCCAGCCTTAGCTTCTTATAAGCTAACTTCCTCTTCAGCCTTAGCTTTCTTTGCACCTTAGCTTCAGCCTCAGCTTTCTTTGCAGCCTTAGCAGCAGCCGCTTTCCTATAAGCTACCCTCTTTTCAATTCTCTTTTGTTCTAGCCAATTTAAAAACTTGTTCCGTCGAGCCTCCTGGTAGATTCGTTGACGAAAGATATCTAATTTGTACTTCCCATAGACCTCTCTATATTGGTGGAGCTCCTGTGGCAGCATTCGTTCATTCAGCTTGTATTTCACATCATAACGAAGTGTCTCCTTAGCTTCAATATCCATGTCGAAAACAGGCTCCCCTCTCGCATTGTGAGTCTTGCGTGGATAGAGCTTTCGATCATGTTTCATCCATTCTTCTTCTTGAGCTGACCTAGCTCTCCTTTGGGCTGCTCTGTCCACCTTCTTTTTAAAATTGGTTTCAAATTGATCAAAAGGGACATCAATAAAGAATTCTGCGTGTTCGGATCGTAAGTACACATCATAAACAAGCTTTGCATCAAGGTTGTCCTGGCCATAAAGCCATCCATCTTGTTCTAAATCTTCGTCCAGAATTTCCTTGGCAGGGTGATGACGCCAATCAATATGTTTGTCTTTCATTGCCTTCTTTTTTGCTTCTTCAGCTGCTTTGGCAGCTTCATGTGCTGCTGGATCTTTCAAATATTCCTCCAGACGCTTTTGCAACTCCTCCTTTTTCCCATTGGCTTTCAAACCTCTTTCTTTGCATGCCTTCTGGAGCTGACGATACGTCATTGAAGAGGGGTCATCCTGCATGGGGACATCTGCATCATTTAGTTTTCTCTTTTTCTGCATGGGGACATCTGCCATGCTAGCATCCTCAGCCATGCTAGCATCCTCAGCCATGCTAGCATCCTCAGCTACTCGTATACTAGCATCCTCAGTCCTGATATCCTCCATGCTAGCATCCTCAGCCCTGACATCCTCCATGGTCGTGATGTTTGTTGGTCGTGATGGTTTGTTGGTTCTTTGTTGATGGTTTGTTGGTTCTTTGTTGGTGCGTGGAGCCGGGATGTAGTTCTTTGTTGGTGGAGCCGGGAGTTTCAGCGAGGTGTTAACTCCAGTTGCTGTGAACTGTTATGTTACTGTAACTCCAGTTGCTGTTAACTAGCTAGTAGCCAGTAGCCAGTAGCTAGAGAGTAGCCAGTAGCTGTTAGTAGCGAGTACATTGTAGCTGTTAACTCCAGAGTAGCCGTTTGTCTACTGGTTTGTCTACTGGTTTGTCTACCGGTTTGTCTACTAAATTGGTAGACAAAGTGAGACAAAGTTAGACAAAGTGAGACAAAGATGAGACAAAGTGAGACAAAGTGAGACAAAGTGACACATTAGCAGACATTTGGTAGACAAAGGAGACAAAGTGAGACATTGGTAGACAAGTGAGACAAAGTGAGACAAATGAGACATAGTAGACAAAGTGAGAAAAAAGGAGACATTCAGAGACCTCGCCAAACTTGATTTGGACTTTGTTCGACAATTAGACAAAAATAGACATCAACTCAGAGCAAAGAATAAGGCACTTCCTGTTAGGAGCATTGAACATTTAAACTACCACAATTTATTTTACAACAGCCCACAAAAAGACTTTTTTGGACAAAATGCCGAGTAACCCTGTACCAGACGAATGAACAGAGGAAAGCAGCACATCGTGTATCTGGTAAGTTGGTTGCTGTCCTTGCAAGTCTCCTTCTCATGTACGGTACGGTACCGCAGCTGGTACCGCTATTCGAGTAGTGTCTTTCCCTCGAAACAAGTTAGTGGTGAAGTGGTGCGACACCGGTATCGTTTCATGCACATTGCAAGCCAGAGCACTGGGGGTCAATCTGCCCACCGAAGGCCAACCACCACAAACAAATCAACCCGTTGTGGCCGACGCAAGTCCGCCATGGCTTTTTCCGTGGTTAGCAGCCAAGAATCTAGCTATCTAGATGGGATGCGTGACCGATCGAGAAGAAACTCCATTTCTTTGGCCACTTTTTAGTAGATAGTATTTTACAGTATGTACAAGGAAGCATCAGCCAAAGGGTGGCTGCATTATTCTCTTGCTTCCAAACATATCAACTCTGGCAGGTTCAGGTCTCTGTTTCCTGCCAAACTTTCGAAATTTCCAACATTCTTATTAGCGGCAATCTTTCACCCCTTGGGCGACAATTTTGAGCAGAGCACCAGGCACTTTCTTGATCCTCTTCTTGAGCTGGCCTTTGTTGGCACTCTTTTGCTTGGACTCAATCATTTGCTTAGAAGGTTGGTTCTTCTTGAGTGGTGTAGTAGCGGCAGCAACCTTGGATGACATGGACTGGTGAGGCAGGGTAAGGTGGTTTAGGTGGGTTGTTGAGTTGGTGTTTTTGTTTTTCCAGAGTGTGGATTTGTGAGGGTATCGATCCGCCCCTCTGTCAACTCCTGGATGGCCTCCTGGATGGCTAGCCAGGTAGTTTTTCGAGACGGCGATGTGGACGCGAATTGAATTGCTTTCATGCGAATGCCTTCGACATACAGGTATTCATCCTAGACAGGACACCACAGAACTGGGAGGCAGCCGGGCCCCGGGCAGGGACAGCTCAGGGTTTCGTGCAGTTCTTTTGTTCATTCGCTTCAAGGCTGCATGTTTTTTTCGAACTTGGAGTCGGTGGAATGGATAGTGGCATGTACGGTAGCATTGTAGGATCTCCACACTGGTAAAGATGTAATTGATGTAATAATGCTGCGCAGGAGTTCCGTTTCAAAGCTGCCGCATTTTAAAATTAACTTGTGCTTGAAGATTGAAGATTCAACTCCATCATTCGCTTCATAGGCTACTTACTTATCAGTCAGTACTCAAGTACTGATTTGTACTGTACCACAGGGAAATGGATGGTTCATGTACACTGCTGTACAGTCAGTACCTATAAAACGAGTACATGGCCTCACTTAATTAAAATCTTCTACGAGTACTCCGAGTAATGTTGAAATTGTCTGATCTCATAAGACGGCTCCAGATTCCGCAAGCTCCAATGCCCCTTGCATCTCAATGATACATTTATTTATGCTCCTAACAAAGCTACGTAGCTACTAGATGTATGTACGCCATAGTATCATAGTAGTATCTTACTGTAGCGGTAGCTGTACAGCTGCTGTACTGTAGCATCCAATTGCCAATAACTGGCTGACACCGACCAGCACTTACCAGCTAGCTGTGAAGCGAATAAAAACTGCACGAAACCTGGAACTCGAGCTCATGGCATGGTTCTACCATCCACTTCACGTACAGTCCCGTACAGTACTCCAGGGTTCTACTTTAATGTGCAGCTTGGCAGCGCATGAAAACTGCACGAAACCCGTCTCGGCACTTCTGCGTGCTGCTGGGCTGCCAACAAAGCGCAGATTTTCCCGACCGACCAAACCTTCCCAGGAATTCGCGTCAAAAGGTTGCTGCCAGTTGAGCTATCCAGAGTCTGGAGAGCCAAAGTTGTTGAACAACTGATACGTAGATACCCTCACAAATCCACAATCAGGAAAACAAAAACACCAACTCATCAATCTAAACTAGCTACTGCTCCCTACCATATCATCATCATGTTGACCAAGACTGTTGCCGCTACACCACTCACCAAGACCGGATCTTCCAAGGAAATGATGGAGCCCAAGCAAAAGAGGAGTGCCAACAAAGGCCAGCTCAAGAAGAGGATCAAGAAAGCTCCTGGTGCTCTGGTCAAACTTGTTGCCCAAGGGGTGTCCGATTGCCGCTAACTAAGAAAGCTGACTAGCTGACAGAAAGGAAATCAAGTCCGGCAGGAAACAGAATAACAAAAAGAGACCTGAACCTGCCATTGCCAAGATGTTTGGAAGAGAAGTCCTTCCTCGTACAATACTGTAAACTACTATCTAAAAGATACATAACAGAACCAAAAAACTGAATGAACTCGAGTTTTCTGGGTAGCCTGCTACTAGCTGGTCGATTGGATTCTCGAACAGCGGAAAACCTTCGCCATGGGGTTGCTTTTGTGGCTGGTGGTTAGACATGGGTAGTCTAGCTAGATGCGTTCATTGAACTCTTAGTTTTGTTGTTGGTGCTCTCTCTTTACCTGCGGTATGCAATGTTTGCTGGAGTTGCAATTGGCGCTCCCTTGGCATGGCGATGGTTCCGATGTCGCGCTAGCTACAGGTACTCTAGTACTGGTACCGGTTCTACCGGTACTAGCTAGGTGGTTGGATCTTTTGGAAAGTAAAACAAGGACTTAATGCAGGGCGAAAAGATGCACATAGAGGGAGACTGGATCTTGTCTTCCACTTGAAAATAATGTCCTGTTTTCATTATTTTAAATTAATTAATAGTCTCCCGCACACCAGAGTACCGTTACATGTTTGGATCTTTTCAGCCATTTTCCCTTGTTTTGCTCCTTGCTACATGTATGCATAAACAGGACTTTCAGAAATCTTTGCGGGTTGAAAAACCTTGACAAAGGGCCACACTAAGCAGTGGCCACTCCAGGGTCCAGATCATTACTAGCTACTAGAGCATTTCAGCCTTACCGGGCAATACATGTAGTCTATCAAAAAAAGCCTCATGGTGGAATCACAACAGAAGAAGACAGCAGCCAGCACCAGCCAGGGAGCCTTGTTTAAGCTAACGGGGGGCTTGCTTGTGTAATGGTGGTAACAATTGCAAGCTTCTTGCCTGAACTGGAGGATTACTCCTACTAGCTAGTATCTCATTCGCGTCGCCCATCCTCCCTTGCATTCGTTCTTATGACAATATCCTCTTCATCCCCGGTATCGGTACCATGCATCATCCAAGAAATCTTCTTCCTCATCCTGCTCTCTTCCTGTGTCATCCTCCTCTTCCAGTTCTTCGTCTTTACCTGGCATAATCATCACTTGCACTGCTATTGCTACGTTACAGGAGGATTGCTAAGTACTAAGAAGGTCTTCTCAGGCATGTTGAGGATGATGTGGTGAGCTTTGATGTGGTGCCGCTGTGCCGCTGGTGCCTATGGTGGGTGGAGCGAGGATCTGTTGGGATCAAAGTGGACTCCATGCCCGGTCGACGCTCCACACAAGAACCATCCCCTATCTCCCAGCTTTGCCTCTTTGTTCCAGCTTGCAGTAGTCTCAACATGATGTCCGTTCGTGAATCTACAAGTCCATGGCCTGATACTTTGGGAGCTTGGGGGAAACTTTGGCGCTGCTATTCCTTTGGGTGTGCATGGTGCCCAGTGAGTCGAGTCCAAACAATCCAGCTGGTTGCCTGTCGACTCTATCTAAACTGCACTGTACCGGTACCTGCAACGCTGGTTGCCAAAGCCTTGGGTACGAGCCCTGAGATCTACAGGCTGCTCCGCGAACCTTGGTCGGGATCGGCACGGTGTGGTGGAAAACTTCTGGCCAGCCCCAGAACTGCGGATGGTCGTGTGAATTGGCCCCTCTCGATCTCTCAATAGCCACCGTACCATGATGATTCCTTGATCCCATAAAATAAGGTCAAGTTCCCTTCTAGCTAGTAAGCAAAGCCAACAAAGCCAACATGAATACGAGTATCAAGAGCACCCAGGAGCCCCTGTTCGTAAAGTGCATCTTTGACGAGGACGTATGTACGTAGTCTCTGGCTCTGCCTGGCTGACGAAGTCTCCATCCCAGCAAAGTGATCGTGCTCCCCTCCTCACACCCTCAATTGCCTCTCTTTGAATGTCAGCTTTTATGGATGCCTCTCTGATTATTGACCTGATTACTTTGTTTGATAACGGTGATCCCTACGCGGGGAAAGGTAAGTCAAATTGCCCAACAGGCGGCAATCCTCCCAACTCGGTTCCTGCGTTGTAATCAACACATGACATGATAGAACATACAGACACCACTCTAACTCGTTTGTTTGTTTGTTTGCTCGTTCGTTTGTTCTCAACCTCTCTAGTCGGCACTGTCACTCGAAACCGTGCCAAAGCACTGCTCCAGATTGAACGTGATGCTGTCGACAGCCGGCACAAGTTAGACCAGGACACGGCTGGAAAGCTCCAACAAGCCAAATCCAAGTTCGATGCATGTCTTGCCGAGCTCATTGAGGAACGGTTGGGAGTCTCGAACCGCAGTGAACTTCCTCCATTTGCAGCGGCATTGGGTGATGAAATCGAGTTGGTCTATCGTCACAAGGTCGAATCCATTCGATCTCGGGATCATTTGCAAAAGGCATGCTTGGCAGCCGTCCGCAAACAACGTGTAGTAGCGGTACATCAAACGACGGTGGCACGGTTAGAGGATCTGCAAGCATCCGGGGCCGTGAACAAATCCCGTGTCAAGGAAGCTTTGGCGGATGCTCGTGTGGCACTCGCCCAAGCGCAGGAAGATCTGGAGTATCAAACGGACATTTGCAGTATGCTTGCCACGAAGAAGAAGGGTCAGATGCAAGTGCACAAACGTCCCAGCCTGGTTGGGACATTTTTCAAGTACAGCACATTGTAGATTAACTGAATGAATAAACATCACGGCAATGGGAGGCTCAGAGGCTAGTATTATTGTAGAGGACTTGATTTTCGTACAGCATCGAGCCATGGCAGGAGGGCTTGACACCCAGACCCAGGATTCGGCGTGTCCTGTCGTCTCCTTGGAATCTCGTTCATGACATCTGTCTTGTGCAGAGATCATAATTGGCCTTGCCAGCTGTACATACATGTATTAGTTAGATTAGATTAGATTATAATCTCAGCATCAAAAACACGAGTTTGCGGGGAATTCTTGTCGATTGTTGGCACAATCTTGTGCCTGTGTCTCAAAGGCAAATGCCAAGGCACTATTGGTATTGCAAGAATCCTCCATGAGCACCAGAGGCAGGAATCGATGATCGACTCCTCCACATTCACTGCCACCTGTGGACTCATCGGAATTGCAATCATTCCCAGATCCCAACCCCATGCATTTTCCCGTGGATATTTCTTGAATGTGATAATACTGGATGTTGTCGGATTGCAGGATAGGTAGAAAGTCAAAGGAAGCACACGCATCCGCGTTGGAGGTGACTTGGAGGGAGTTTTTGTCATCATCCTGCATGACACGTATACACCTGGGAATGTTATAGGCATCAAACCAGAGTCTCTGTTGGTCTCTGTAAGTCAGCAGCTGATCGGCAAATACGAGTTTGTGGGGACGAGAATGACGCTTGAATGTATGCAGGCGCAGAGGTTCTTGGAACCTTTCATCCCCGCAAGACCAAAAGATATCAATGGCGTAAGGATACTGGTAGACACCATTGGCAAACAGACAATCTCTAGTTACCAGGGCACCTTGCATTCCCTCCAGTAGAGAATAAGTGGTTGAAGGTGCAGTTGAAGGTGTGGGAGTTGGGGTGATGCTATTGCTGGTCATACTATTGCTAGTACTATTGCTAGTAGTTCCATTCAGGCTCATACTCATACCGGTACTGTCCACCGGAACATCCAAAGACGAAGAATTGGTGTACGAAGAATTGTACGGGGCATCCACAGCCGCAGCCATACCAAAGGCACTAGCTGCACAAAGAGCAATCAGCAAGATACTTGTAGTCATGGTGAGGGCCAGTTATGCACACTGCATAGGTATTAGTATATTAATAGTGATGATGCCGGTTGGTGGTTGATCGAGCCCTGTCTCGATCTTTTGAGGTGTTGGGTGCGAGGTGCGAGGATCTCTTGTTGGTGATTGCCTTCTACTAGTAACACGTACTGTACGTGGACGTCACTTACCACAGGAGAATTAGGGCTTAGACGCTCATTCCTTTCGTTGAAGAATAATTATTGGGCAGTGTAGTACCACACTGTACGTCCTTTCAGTCGCAAGTCCAAAACTTACAATGATGTACTGTTCCGTAGATGGAGCCAAACAGACGAAAAAGGGTGGCAAAAACAGGAGCCATGCACTGTTGTAAGAGTACAGTAGTCTACAAACTTTGTGAAGCTGAAGCAAACAGAGCAAAAACTTTGTAAGGACATGGTGCCAATGGGCTTACGGCATTGCCCACAATCATGATGGATTGCCACGTGCATGTCAGCACTGGATTTCCCGCAACGACTACATGTATAGCTAGCCCCCAACACTGGAGTTCTACATGTAGGTAGGCCGTTGCAGTTAGGTTGGACTGTTTTGTGGTGATTGTTTAGAACCATGATTCGTCTGCCGGCTAAATAGATCTGGTCTACTGTACCAATACAATGCCATGTACAAAGGACCCGTACAGTAGTACTCCATTGCAGTTGATGTACTGTACTTGTGAATCATCCAAAGTGAACCGTTTCTCACTTTGTGAATTGATATGGAGGGACTGTCACTCTCTCACAGAGCTGGTCCACTGCCTGCTCTCTTCAAAGCAACTTCCCTTCCTGTTGGTTAGTCTACTTTCGTCGTCAACCCTCACTTCTTGAACCCTACATTTAAACATGCATGTACATACATCATGGTGACGTGGAAGGCTGTCGTGCTAACGCTTGAAGCTGCGACGAGACACACAGAGAGACCGCATTCTGCCTCTCTTTGCGGCTTGCTTGGCCTGAATCAATCCAAAGAGCTGCTGTACGGTACTGGACGTAGTAGCTAACATGTAGCGGGGGGGGGGGGGGCAACAATGCGTTTATTTTGACAATGGGCGGTAAACTCCTGGCGCATGTGGGACAGTTATCATAGTAGTTCTGCGAAGGTCACCTTTGCGGTTGTCACACGCTCAGCCTATGTGCTTATTAGCTGTACTACTGAGTAGATAGCCACCTTGGAGTCCTTGGAGTCAGTCGTTGAGTTGACCTGCCCTGCCGTAGCTTCTGCAGCTCTCCTGCCCTTCTCTTTTAAAGCCGGCTGCTCAGCAACCAAGAACCTTGGCTGGCCATGGAGGCTTGTCTCTGTAGAAACATCTTAGCATTCTCACTTTTTGCTGCATTTTATAGGTATGACACATGTATGCATAGACTACAGAAAGGAGGCGTTTCTTTCCCATAACAGAGAGAGAGAGAGAAAACGGAACCTGCCTCTCTTCGTGGCTTGGCTGCTTGATCAATTCGTGAAACTATATGTAATAGCTACATGTAGCTAGAGCAGAGAGCGACGCATTATTTATTTTGACCGTGTATATCGTCCATGTGGGAAAGATAGTTTTGCTACCAGCTTGGAGTGCAGCCCTTGACCTGCCCCCAGCTCCTGCCCTTACCACAGCAGATAGAATAAGCCAGCGGAGCTGTGTAACCTCGGCAGAAAGGTTTCAGTGTAGAAGCAGATACCCCTATTAGCTAGCTAGCTAGAAGCAGATACCTGTAGTGCTTAGCTAGCTAGTGCTTAACTTGCGCTTAGCTAGCTGGAAGCAGATCCCCTAGCTAGAAGCAGATTCCCATAGCAAGCTAGAAGCAGATACCCCAAGCTAGCTAGAATACTAGTTATATAGCTTTTGCTAGCTTTATAGTTTTTCCTGGTAGAAGCAGATCCCCCTACTAGGATGCATGTAAATAGCTTTAGCTGGTTTAAAAGCACCATCCTGGGATACTTATTTAGTTTTTGCTGACTTATTTGTATTCTAACCCTACCCTTATACCTGCAGGGACCACCGTAGCAGGAAAAACAATTAAAGGGGTTGAGGGCTCTGGCAGCAAGACTGCCGAGGTGAAGGGAGGAGTTTAGGAGTTTACATGTCGCGAAGCAAGGAGTAAATTGGGTGCAATAGTCCGTAAGATTGATGAGCGCAACTGTATGTTCTACAGTACTCTGATTACTCTCATCATGTCCCATGTTTTGGGGGGTGCATTGGTGCTTTAAAAATCACTTTGAACGACAGTTCTTGCCAATATCCCAGTCACATTTTGGCTTGGAACCAGCATTACGACGATGTCATCTCTTTCATTGGAGCTGAGCTATTTATCCAAAATTTACAGAGTAGACTATTTTGCAGTCAATGCTACCGCTGTCTTTGTTGCTGGCTAGCTACGGAAGCTCTAGTAGTAAAGTGTAGTCTACCCCAAGGGTATTATGGTCTCTACTCTTTTTTGAGCTCTCTCTAAGAGATTGGGTTGAATCTCGCTCTACCTAGAGTCAAAGTCTTACCTTCCCAAATAAATATCATTATCTCAATTCTACCACTACAGCTACGGTAGCCGAGTCCACAGCAACTTAAAACGATAAGGGATCAAATTAAAATGAACTCTGAGGAGCACTGCAACGCCAACGCCAACTTGAGCATTGGAGAGGAGGAGAAACAAGAAGTGAGTCTTAGCTCCACTGAGAAGAGCAATGCTGTTGGTGCTGTTGGTGCAGCAGGTACAGGTACAACAGACATGAAGCAGCAGCCAAGTCTTGGCATTCCTGGAGCATTTCCCTCCAACGGCCAACCCAAGACGCTTGGAAAGATCTTTGAAACCGTTTCTAATACTACTACCCCCAGTAGTACTACTAGTAAGTCCAATTCAAAGGTGACACTCGGGAAGGTCTTTGAATTGCAAGTGGCAACTCTGGCACCAACTGCCAGTACTAGTACTACATGTAGTATGCACAAGTCAGGTCTGAAAGAAGGGTGCAAGAAGAACGATAATCTTAAGAGGAAGGAACGAGGACTCGTGATTGCTGGGGCTTTGCAGACAGCCAGGCAAGATGAAGACAAAGACAAAGACGAAGATGATGCCCTACCGGTTTCTACTACTAGTATGCATAGCGCCTCTGCCTTTTCACTCCCCGAGCCCCAATCGTTGCCTTCTCCACCTACTGTACAACAGCAGCAGTCGCAACCCGGGGCATTCCCGCAGGCACCCTTTGGAGTCACCGTGGATCCCCTGTCGTATCTCAATGAGCCTCAGACGGAATACTACTACAATGACAATGGCAACGACATGGACTGCACCAATGACAATGGCAATGCTGTTACTAGTAGTAGTTTACACATGAATGAGGAGCAACGAATGGAAGAGGGATTGGTGGAAGCCAAACCGGTGCCGGATGATGATGAGAACACTGCTCGTCCCACAGCAGAACCTTATCACAACCACACGAAGAGGCCCAGTCAAGAAACCTTGCAACAAGACTTGCACGCCAAAGAACGAATGGCTGTCATTGTGGTGGCAGTGGTTGGCTTGATTCTGGTACTTGTCTTGGTTACCACTCTGGTAGTGGTGGCTTCCACAAAAGATGACTTGAACAGCAACAGCAATAGTCCTGCGATCTTGAATGGCTCAGAGGTCCCAACGACAGCAGCACCAACAAGTTGGCAATGGGATCTACCGTTTCCAATCCCTGACTTTGTGCAAGAAGAGATCCGCTCCGATTACAACATGTACATGTACGACAGTGACAATGACAACAACAACAACACAATAAGCAGCAGCACCGTCACGAATGCAAACAAGTCTCCTCAGACAAGAGCATACGAATGGATGAAACAAGACCCCGCCATGCTCATGGAAACGTCCACAACGAGCAGATGGGTGCAACGATTCGTGCTGGCTACTTTGTACTATTCCACCAGAGGGGAAGAGTGGACCCATCAAGGAGGAGGGACCGTGACAGTGACGTTGGGGCAAGGTCCTCTCTCGGGGGATGCACCACAGCAACAGCAACAGCCCACTGGACAAGGGCAAGGGGGACGCCCACCGGCCACAAATCAAATCCGATACTTCAACGTAACGTCCGACCCGTGGTTGTCATATGGTATTAATACCACCGAATGCAACTGGTTCTCGCCAGCGTTTACCGAACGAGAGACTGCGTGCTTTTCCAACAACCACAACAATAACAATGATACTATTAATGGCGGCTCGAACAGCATGTATCAGGTACTCGATGCCTCACGAAACAATCTGCAAGGCAGCATGCCCCAAGAGATTGGACTATTGTCATCACTCGAGTCTCTAAACCTTGGCTGGAATCCACAACTGGTAGGACCCATTGTAACACAAATTGGACAACTCACCAGCCTTCGAGAAATCGTGATCAATTCGTGCAGCCTCACCGGATCCGTACCCAAAGAAATTGGATTGCTGAACCAGACATTGGAGATATGCTCGTTGTTGGACAATGATTTCCGCGGGACGTTGCCTCGGGAGTTTTGGGCATTGACCAACCTCAAAGAAATCAAGCTGGGACAAACCCAACTCTCTGGATCCATACCGGAGGATAAAATTGGCCTCTTTTCCAACCTTCAAATATTCATGGTCGGCAGGACTCTTATTAGCGGGCAGCTGCCGAGCTCGATTGGTCGTCTATCCAACAATCTTCAGGTTTTGGATGTGCAAAAGACACGAGGAACAAGTTTGTCGTCGTCGTCGTCGTCTCTCACTGGAACGCTCCCGACCCAACTCGGGAGATTGGGCAACGTCACACGATTTCTAGCCGCCGGCAACTGGGGCGTGCAAGGAGTTTTGCCATCCGAGATTGGCACCATGTCCAGGTTGCGGAGCTTGAATTTGGAAGACATGCCGGGGCTGTCGGGACCGATCCCACCCGAGCTTGGAAATCTGAATCTGAATCACTTGAAGATCAAGGGGACCAGTCTCACGGGAACGATTCCGCCGTCGCTTTGTGGAGTAAGGGAGTTGACGGTCGACTGCTCGGACAAACTTTGTGGGTGTCATTGTCCCTGTGCAACGAACTAGTATACATGCTAGCTCGTAGACTATGCTGCACTTGCTATAGCTAGCCAGTCGTTCGATACTATAGCTAGCTCTCGTCTACAAAAGGGACCTTAACATAATGACTATTGTTAGCTGGTAGCATACCAAGACCAGAATGTAGCCATTCATGATTCAAGACAATTTGACGACACTATAATAATTAAAGCCAGCTCTCTTACAATGCACTGTCATCAAGGGTGGCACGTAGACAAGCCTGGCTTGCAGCGTCAATGCAATCCACAGTGACACCTCCTTGTCCTTCTTCCGAGGTAAATTTGGCGTCCACACATGCTCTGTCCCCATTGCAGGAGGCTGTAGCACCGGAAGGGAGTTCCTTGAGCCTAGCTTCACGACAAGCCCATTGGCCAACACAGTCCAAGGCGTTTGGTTTCCAGATTGTGGTTCCCTTACAGGCCCGAGTGCTGCACTCAACTGCAGGGCATCCCATGATTCTTCCACCCCGGCAAAGTCCATTTAGTTCGCCTTCACAAAGGATGCTGTTAGTTTTAGCATTGTAGGAGACGTCAGTAAGGGTGTTGATGTCCTCCTCCAAATAGGTTTCTCCCGCGGACGTGACCAAGCTGCAAGGACAGCTTCCTTGGGGTCCAGTCTGGCAGTCTTCTCCATGGAAGAGGCAGTTATCCTGACACGCACCGAATCTGCAATCAAGGCAATCAACGTCGAAGGTTGTCGTGCTTGCCTGATTGGTACCGCAAGCATTCGCACCGTCACAAATAACCCGAGTACCGCTGGAGCTGTCTGCTGTGGTGATCTCTGAGCCAAGACACGCAACTAATCCCAAGCATTTCACAATTGCGTCATTTAGAAGATCTGTCATTGTGGCCTCACGACAGGCAGAAGCACCATTGCACTCAATGGAAGGAACACTAACAATCGCTGCTCCCCAACAACCCCCTTGCTCACAGACGAGCTGGCTGCAGCCAGAAATTGTGGCTTTGCAGGGAGTCGTCAGAAACACTTGTGTGCAGCTTGCATATGAGAGTATTAGTCTGTGGATCAAACTCTACACCAGCAAGGGTAGCAAGATCCGACCCGAAATATACATTACCACCAGGCTGAGACAAAGTACAGACACCATTGGTGGAAACCACACTTAAACATCCAGAAATAACCAACCCATCACAATCATGGCAGGTTAATGAGTCGGTGCTGGCATCATACATGTATTCATGGGCAGCAGACTCTTGGATTGCTGCACCAATAGATGTTGAGCCGTCTGTGTAGGTCACGGCACAGAGAGATGGAAGAGTAGCACCAGTGCAGGCACTGCCATCTACACACTGCACGGCATCAACATCCGTGGAAAGATCCGCATTTTGACAGGCGTTGCTGTTGCAGACCACACTCTGGCAGTTAGAGATCGTGGCACGTTGGCAAGGGCCAGACTTTGGTGGCACCACTGCTTCACAGGTCAGAGTGCCTGCTGTGGAAAATGTCACACCTTCTATATTGTTGATGTCATTACCAACGTAAGTGGACTCGTCTCCTAAGGTCAACGTACAGCCGTTCGAGACTGTGCCTAATCCAACTGTGCCCAATCCCACGACATCTCCACTCACGGGCTTGACGACGTTGGCAAACAGCAGGGCCAGAGCCACAGAGCCACGACCAACGCCTGTTGGATACGAATAGTAGGAAAACCTGTCAAACTGAAACGATTGCGAGCCATGGTTGCTAATTGCTAATTGCTAATTGCTGATGGTGGAGAGGTAGATGTGTCGAAAGGTATCTAGCTAGCCAGCCAGTAAAATGGGAATTCAATTCACTGAGGAGTGATTAAACTTTTTGTGGGCTGAGGACTGAAGAGGGTTCCGAAAAAGGCTGATGATGGTGTTGATAAAGAGGTTGCTATAGTGTTGTGTGTGTTACTACTTGGTTGTTGTGGTTGTGGTTGAGTTCTAGTAATCTGGTAACTGGATAGTCATAAATCGCTACCACAGGTCATTTTCGGTCCCCTCAAGCTAGAGGGGGATCTATCTCACGCTAGATTGCACTTGGAATGGGAAAACAGACTTCGGAAGTCTGAAACAGGATGTACCCTTGGGCATGGCCCCTTGGAGGCTCAGACCTGCCGTTCACCAAACGGCCCACCCTATGGTCATGTTGCCTTTTTGCAGATTGTTAGTAGAGACTTTCGAAACCAGTCGCTGCCTCACAGGCCGTTCTGGATCTTCGTCAACAGCTGTCCTCGTGGCTAATTCGGCAATACCGATGGTATTCTGTAGATAGTTGTTCATGGCTGCAAGATTGCCTGCCATATTCGCCTCAATTACTTCTTCTCTTGCGGTATCACTTGGATGAGCAACAGTTGTTGGGTCTTTCTTCTCTGCTCCTATTCCAACAGAAACTGTACACACCCAGACAAGTAAGCTGTATTCCACGGAATGAGCTCTGCACACCCAGTCTGTGACAGTCTAGGCCAAAACTCTTGGATCAGGCGTCCCCTCTCCTTTGCTCAATCGATTTCTTTGGTGACAATGAGGCAGGAATTGATCCAGACTGGAGGGATCAATATTCCAAGTCCAAACCTCTGCTTCCCACTTGGAAGTCTCTATCTCTCGCTCCACTTGAGAGAGCCCCTCCTTCTTGAGAGGTCTTCTGTTGCTATGCCGCTTGGAGGTCTTCTCTTCTTCTTCTCTCTTCTCGATCACGACAAGCGAACGACAATGGGATATGACCGTCGCTTCGTGACCGTCTGTTCGAACAGTAGCTTCGAATCGGCGACAATGGCGCTGCTTCGAATGAACGAACGGTTAACAAACTCCTTCTTCTTCTTCTTCTTGTCGCTCGCAGCGATCGCGGTTCTTCAGCACTCGCGACAACGTAACGACAATGGCGCTGGCGTTCGAACGATAGCTTCGAACGGTAGCTTCGAACGAACGGTAGCTTCGAACGGTGGCTTCGACAATGGCGTTCGGACGAACGAATGCGTTGCTTCGGTAGCGACAATGGCGCTGCGATCTTCCTCTTGTGCTTGTGCTTGTGCTTGTCGAACGACCGATCGTTGGGTAGTCGCTTCCACGCCTGATAAGCCGAAAAAGGCTGATGATGGTGTTGATAAAGAGGTTGCTATAGTGTTGTGTGTGTTACTACTTGGTTGTTGTGGTTGTGGTTGATTTCTAGTAATCTGGTAACTGGATAGTCATAAATGGCTACCACAGGTCATTTTCGGTTCTGCGTGCTCTTTGAATTTTTGCTCCTGCTTTGTTCAGTAGTACCACTGTGGTGTATTAATGGTTAGCTTTGCATACTGTAGCATACGACTCGACTCGACTTGACTCCGAGCAGTGGTAGTACCACCGAAGCAAGCTGGCATGATGAGCTCAATACTGTACGACTGTACTCAGTAGCCATGCATAGCCCAGTTAGCTGCCCAGTTGTACAATGACACATTGACACGTAAGCATACGCAGGATGACTTAATGGCAAGAACAGTTGACATGCTGATGTACTACTAGAAGTAGTACATGTACAGTCATGCCATACCGGTACGACACTGGAAAGTGGTAAGTCGTACCTATTCTGGTTCCTGTCTTGGTCGGTAATTACTGCAGTAATTCCTGGTTACTGGTTACTTACTGTACTTTTACTGCCTTTATTGGCCAGTAGTTACTGCAGTCAGTAATTCCTGGCAGTAATAAATCTGCCAATTCAACAGTAATTGACAGTAAATGACAGTAAAATCACAGCAATCACCCTATTTTACTGCAATTACTGTGATTTACTGCCTTCAAATGGCTTAAAATTACTGTACCTGATTACTGCTACTGAGGAATTACTGCATTACTGCCATTACTGCTACTGTTTGGCCCCTCCAGTCAGTAATCAGTAAACAGTAAATACCAACCAAGGTTCCTGTACCTCCATTCAAGCCACGCAGAAATACTGCATGGCGATCCATTTGGCCCTAATTACCCAATCTTGAGAGAGCTCGGATAACCAAAGATATATTTTAGCACTGATGAAGAGCTATGATTCGACACAGTACAAAATTCAGGAACACTAGGTGTATGATTTAACAGTGTATAGCTACCGGTATCCGAGCATCAGGTGGTTGGGGCGATTTTCAACCACCAATTTCCAAAATCATGATTGCTGACCATGGCCCAAACTCGTTCAAAACAAACGTCGGCACCAAGAGACCACGTCCTATCCTCGATAGACACTAGGAGAAGTGATTGACACAGTGCCGAAATGGCTTCTAGCTAGTCGTCTCCATCACTCCAACAAAGGGATACTAGTAGCTGGTTCTGGTTTCGAGCTAGAGTATAGCAATACACGTGTACTGCGTGTCCCTCTGTAACCTTGCCATAAGTCTACCGGATTCTGGTAGACTATGAAACCTCGAAAGTGCCGGTTTTCACGGTAGAATCCTACCAATTCTGGTACTGAAACCTCGAAAGCGCTCCAATCGAGAACGAGGGACGGGCTGGTAGCTAGCTATTTCCCAGTTTTCACTGCGACAGCCCACAAAACCATGCACCTTTTTGCAGAACTAAAACTAGAGCTAGCTAGAGCTCACATATTCTAGATCTTTGCACCGACCCAATTGCAATTGCAGTTGCAGTTGCAGTTGCAGTTGATCAGTGCGAAACACCAAGACTCCAAGACATCATCAGGACCTTTGCATCTAGCTATAATCCAGTTCAACACCATGGCGGACCCTCCTTGCAAGGTAAGCATGCTGGTACCGGTAGGGACCAGGTCCGAAAGGGAAGACGTCTTTTATGAGGTGGTTTCTAATCTGGGCCCCTCTTGTGTGGACGCAATGATCCAAGAGGCTCAGTGATAGCGACTCGGACAAGATTCAATGGGCGTTTGGCTTGCTGTGTTTCATCGGTATCATCTACTTCTTTTGCATGAAGCCTGTGTACTTGATTCCTGTCTTTTCCTCTATGGTTTCTGCTCATTGTGACCACCGAGTTGGCGTGGCTCGGCAGCGTTGCCAGTGAGCAAGACCCCGTCGCTAAGGGTGACACCGGTTCTGGTTTCGAGATAGAGTTACAAGATGGTTATCTTCGCGTTCATTCTGATCCATCCAAGAGGGGGCACGAGTGTCCGCAGAAGTCGTGTGCCGCGATAGGCTTTGTGGATGGACGCAGGGCCACCGTCGGGCAGCTTCTGCACCTCTCCTTCGTACACACCCCTCTTTACCTGTACTACTTTACGTACCAGTACAACGTAATCACACTCACGAGCATCTTCATCGACTGTCTCTGGTTCCAAATCTCGTTCCTCAGCTTCGCGAATGCTGAGCACTTCAGGAGAAGCGTTTCGTACGAGGGGGCAACTATCTCGACGATGATTGTCTCGCCTGGTGGGATCGGGCCCTCCGGACGAGGGCTGGGGCCACCAAGCTAGTTCTCGTACGCGACAAATTCTTCCTTCCAAACTCTCCTTGTAACGTTAAAGAAATTCTTTATCTCTCTTTCCCTTTTGCGGAATTCAAGTCTTGAGGCTCCGAGGAGGGCCAACACTACTTGACAGTACTCTGGAGAAGGAACCAGTAGGGACAAGGAGATCAGACTAAAGGATCCATCTTGGGGGCGAGATGCTTGAGTTGTCGGGAACCACGTCCGCAGATATGGCGAAGTCACGTTGATGGCTGGGAGGCAATGGAGAGCCCAGTGTATTTGTTGGCCGTCGTGTCATTTGGGTGGGTGCCGACGTGCATCGAACTGAGGATCGAAACAAGAAGTTTGGAAACAATCTCAACTTCGGCACAGTCCACAAGACGACTTGTGTCGACTACCTATCCCTCAACGGCAAGTATCCTGGCGAACTCAACATCATATTGAAGTCAACAACGAGCATCATTATGTAAATATAGTTTAGTATGTAAATAGTTGGATAGTATTTGACTGCTCTTGCTGCTCGGAAGAAGCAAGAAACTAGATAGATCGGCCCATCTGATTCCCTTGTTCAACATTCGATCTGTGTCTCGACAACTTTGTTAAAATTGCTGACAGATGCACTGCCCCAAGACACTCGTGGCGGTGGAGGTGGAGGAATACTCGCCTCGGGACTGCCCCAAGACACTCGTGGCGGTGGAGGTGAAGGAATACTCGACTTGGGTTTCTTCATAGGAAGAGCCTGCTCTGAAACTTCCACAGACGCAGAAGCCGCGGCCGCTTCAAGAGGCTGTGAAAGTTCGCGCATAGGACGGGGCATGCGGTTTACCTGCAGCGCAGCCTCCTTGATGTCCCCGGGCACACCATACTTTTCACGTGCTTCCTTGATCATTTGTGCAACTGCTTCTTCGCCGTGGGCCTCCCATTCGGCCCTGTTCTTGGTTGCATAATCCAAGTACTCCCCACTAGATACACCAAAGACACCACAGTCCCTAAGCTTCTGTGTCAAGGGGATGATGTAGAAGTCAAAGAATCCAAACTCTCCCTTGTACCAAAATTCTGCAGGGTCTTTTGCAGTTCTTCCATTGAGGTAAGCAACGTAAAGCTCCTCAAACAAGTTTTGATTCCACTTTCTATAGACATGCCAGTGTTGCATAGTGTGACTGGGGAAGCAAAAGGTGGAAACCGATGTGAGCAAGTGATGAAGCAGTCAAGTTAGACCAAATGTGGAGGCGTGCTTACCTGATGTCACTGGCTTGGATGATGTGTTCAATCTGTAGATACAAACAAGAGGGAACATAGACGATGAATGAGCACTGGCCCACTTTGGCAAAGCAGAAAGTAACAGTGTGGTCTTGTCCTTTACGTACAACAATGGTTGCCTTCCTGTTGACTTCATCCCTTGGGTTCTCGTCAACAAAGTTGGCATTGTCCCCATTCTTGAAGGCCTTGTCCCATCTGTCATTTCTGAGTTTCTTCATTTCCTTATCCACAATGTCAGTGGACATGACGGACTGTGTAGTAGAAGGTGGGTATTAGCACACAAGCCCAACAGGCACAATCTGCCATCAAACAAATAAACCAACTTACGTTCACCACAAGTTGACGGAATCGAACCATGTCGCACTTTGTAGGGAACAAGAAGGCTCGTAGAGTGTCATACGTAGGATCCATTAGCAAATCCCAACTCAAATCCAAAGAGTTCTTGATGCAAAGAGGTGAAAAGATGATCGTTAGAACTCAATTCAGAGCTGTCGTTGGTGCAGGTACCGCCTTGAACAACTCACCTGTTCTGCCACACTTCGTTCTCCGTAACGATCCACCAGTGGAACCTCTTCCTTGACCAACTGAGCGTTGGATACTCCCACATGATCCACATCATGGATCAATGCAGAGAATGTACAGGCAAACTGGGTCAACGGGTCACTGAGGGTTGCAGGGTGCGATGTTAGTGAGAATATCTGGTTGGTACCGTATAAGCGTCCATGGTCTTGTCGTCGTTCGCTTCATGCTCTTACCTTGTGATTCCGTAGGTGTGATCGTGAAGCGCCTTGTCTGCAGCATCCTCGTCGAGGTGAGATGGAGCCACGATGCGACTCATCAACTTGATCACTGTAGGAGCAAACACAAGGAGACAGCTTGGTGAGCGCAAAGTTCATTGAAGGCATCCATTATCAAACAGCTCAATGCTTCGACGCACCACTCATGACAACGTGGGAGGCATGGTCAAAGTCTATAGCAAAAGACAGGCGGGTCACAAGGTGTAAGTGAACGTTTCCGGAGGGGAGTTTGATGAACAGAGCACCAATCAAAACTCACTGTGGAAAGGATTGTTATTGTACATGCTGGCAATCTTGCTGACAAGGTGGTGTAGTTGCTGTTCCACCTCTTGGGGGATCTCAACTTCCTCGGGCTGTTGCTGCTCTTGCTCTGCCTTCTCGTCGAACTCAGGCAGCGTGATGATCTCTCTGACTTCTTCCAGAGGCGTTGCTCCAAGCTTGACTCCGGTTGTCTCGCAGCTAGAAGAAGCGCCCTTTTTGGAGCTGCCCTTCTTGGGAGCGTTCGCAGGAGTGCGCCTAGCAACAATCGGCTTCAAGAGGTGAAGAAGCATCTCTACATTCCAGTCAATGAGCCGGTTGGTCCTTTCGTCTAAGAATGGAACCGAAGGAGCAAACTTGCTTGTGGTGACCATCTCGTTTGATGACACTGCCGATGCAATAGTGGCAGCCCTTTCCCCTTCGACAATCACCCAGAAAGTCTCGAGGCTTCCCTTGCCTTTGGCTGCAATGTTGTCGGTCCTCTTATGGATCCAGTGGCCATTGCCATCCTTGATGATATGGTCGGCAGTCTCCTTGGAGCAATGGATGCGGCCACGTTCACTGGAGCTCTCCAAACGGCTACATGTGTTCATGGTGTCTCCAAAGAGCTGGAATCTCGTACGCTCTCCCCTCAACACTCCAGCCGTAACTGGACCGGAGTGCATCCCTATGCGAAGCTCCAAGTCACCAGTGTCAGGCCCCAGCACGACTTCGAGTTCCTTGGTGAGCACCCTCATCTTGGCCAGAATGTCGCGTCCAAAGCGAGCCATGGCAACGGCATGATCAGGTCTCGGGTCGGGCAATCCGCTGACGGCAACGTAACAGTCTCCAACTGCATGCGCAAAGCAGGACGAACGAAGGAGTAAAGAGGAGGGTGAGCTTGCAATCGGTTTCTGAAAATTCCGGAAACTTTCCTAGGTCGTTACCTGTTTCCACCTTGAAAATGCGCCTCTTCTTGGCCACCTTGTCAAACGCTTGGAACAGTGTCTCGAGCAGGGTAAAGACTTGGCTTGGTTCCCGCACTGAACTCCAGGCAGTGAATCCACTGATATCCGCAAAGAGAACGGTCGAGTTCAAGAAGAGATCGGCCAGTGGCCTGCCTGCATCGACATTGCCACCCTTGCCATCATTAAGAAACATTTTGAGCGACCCGTGCTTCTTAAAGCCCCCTGCTTGCCGTTCCTTTTTGTCTTGGAGGATTCGGTCACGAAGATGATCCGGAACAAAGGAAGACACAATGGCATTGGACTGGGCCGCATTGTTGATCATCATTTCGTTTCGGTTCTGGACCGTGGTATCGTAGATAAAGTACACGACGGCGACCATGAGAAAGGTTCCAGCGACCACGGCTGCAAAAATGCCGGGTGTGGAAGTCTTGTAGTCGTCTTCAAATGCCTTGCTGGGGTAGATGGTCATGGAGTACATGCAGTGGCCTGGAGTTGACCTTGCGTCTGGATGGGTCTGGAGGTTGAGATCGACATAAACACCCATGTCATCATAATCCGTGTGCAAGTCGCCTTCCCCGAGGTACCAGGCATCGGCTCCGTCAATTCGATAGGTAACGGTTTGATTGCACGTGTTGGAGATGACAGTGATCATGCCCTTGACGTTGGAAGGTAGGAGGTTGAGCATGGAAACGTCCCAGGCGGTGGCCAAGGCGAACATGGCGACAATGTCGGAGGTCTCGTCGCCGGCAATCCGGTGAACAGGAGAGAAAGTGAAGGAGTGAGGATTTTTGGCGCCGTCGGGGGAAGAGTGCATCTTTTTGTGTTCGTCTTCTGGGAGGTTGGCAAAGGGCTTGATGTTGGTCATGACGGCTCGCTCGGTCTGCAAGGACATGATAGCATGGAAGCCATCGCTGATGATCTTGTTGGCCAAGAGGTTGTTGTTGATGGTGGGGCCGCTGTAGATGATAGATTAGGCACGACGAGACAAGATAAGACGAGAGTTAGCAACGCTTACGATTGAGCGCCGAGCAACGCAAGTAGCGGTAAGATAAGGCAAGGCAAACTTACTACTTTCGAGCAGGAGGCGATTGCACATTACGGGCAAAGTAGTACGGGTGGTCTTCTTCGGGGACGAAGGATCCGTTCTTGAGCTTTTGAGCGATGTACGGCTGGTACTTTGAAGTGTCATTGTTGAGATTGTCCAAATTCCCGTAGGCAATCATGTGTGCGTCCTGGACAAAGTCTTGGTACCTTGGAGTGATGAAGTCAATGTAGGAGTCGCGCTGTTCGTGGGTCACGTAGTTTTGCATGGAAATGAACTCGGCACGAGCAATGAGCTTAAAGTCCAACGCGAGCTGCTCGTAGTGCTCCGGGATAAAGTAGGGCCAAGGCGAAGTCCCGTTGACGCTATGAGCCGCCCCTAGGAGTGCCATGCTGTCCGCCATCATGCGCAAGGCTTCCCTCAAGTTAGCTTGCTGCTCAATAGCTGCGTCCCCGACGGTACGAGAGAACTGGTCGAACTGTCGCGTGGGAGTAACAATAGCAATGAAGGTTAAGGTTAGGGGTTAAAACTGTGACTCACAAGCTCACAGCTCGAACAATGACGACGACACGGACTCGACTCGACTCACCACGTTACGAAAGTTCTGATCTTCCCGGTCGACCAACAAGACGTAAGTGGTAACGGTGACAGCCACAGCCGTTGCCAAAAGAGCCAAAGTAACGAGGATCCTCCACATGCGGACCCTCGCCGTTTCCCTGTGCGACTGCTTGCGCACTTCCAAGATCTCGTCGCGTTCCCCACCACTCGACTCGGTAAAGTCGGTTGTCGACATGTCCAAGTCTTGCGACGGATAATGCTTGAGAATGCCCATGGTCAAAGATAGAAGATTGAAAGATGAAAGTAACAAACAAGAGGCTGAAAGTAAAAGTAAAAGTAAGTGTGCACTTCGCCGGTCCGTTCCAGAAAATGTATTTGCAAAATTGTGAGACTATCGAGGTGGTCGAGGAAGAAAGGGAGAATTTTGCGCGGTGTTGCAGATCCCGCAGATCCTTGGATAAGCATATGCCCGGCAAGTAAGATGGCTGCTCGTAGGAAGTTGATACCGAAGTGGCCCAGCCAACCGACCAAGGAAAAGAGCCAATAAGTAATTATTGAATCAGTTGCAACGTCAGCACAAACAGTCATGCCTCTCTATTAAAAAATTGGGGGTATCTGCCAGTTTCTGGACATCTAACATCATTAAGCAAAGAATTCTCCATGCTGGAAAAACCATGACTGCAGCATTTAGAACCAATGACTTCAATGTGGGAGTGTCGCCAAGGAACTCCCAGTTCCTCAAATTAGTGTGCCAAGACTGTACAAAACTGTAGGAACTCTGTACCATGTTGAAGCGAACCCACTACTAGTAATCCAAACGTCCAGGATTCTAGATCTATATCTGCAATAACCAGGATATAGATTAGAGTACGAAAAGCTCCCTCTTCCCAGTCACTCATACCGATATGAAATTTCCACTATTAAATCCATGCAATTGCCCCCCTACTGCCGGTTTACTCCACTCGAGCAACAGTCTATTAATACTCCACTCTTTGATTGCCCTTTCGGAGTCATCTTTGTAGTCTTTACGAACAAGGAAAGCAAACTTACTTTGTGACCCTAGAGTTTCTGGTGTCCGGCATTATATTTATTTATTGTGCCAAGCACGCGTTTCCGGTGTCGGCAAAGAATAGAGCAGTTGGCAACCCTGTGCACTGTGCACCGTCATTCGTCCATTATTTATTTATGCAACTCTGTCAGAGCTGACGTGAAAGCAGCAAAGCAGCATTGTTTAAGGACTCAGTGCAGCTCACAGGGCAATTCATTTTTTAAACACCCTTGTTTCCAAGGCAAAAAGGCTGCTGAAGTGGTTTCAGTACCGTACATGTCATGTGGATACTGGTATGTGGATCAGATGTGGGTCCCAGTTTGGCATAGCTATCTACTAGCTAGCTAGTACTCGAGTAGCTACCGGTAGGTAACACAACATGACATTGTAGTATGTACTACTAGCAGTCTAGCTAGCTAGCTAGTACGCTGTGGCTAGTGCAGACCCTTCCTCTGCCTGGCTGTTCCATCATTCGGACAACGACCTCCATGGTGAAGCACAACATAATTCGGTGCTGGCAACCAAGGGACAGACACAGCAGCCACTTGCTATCTGCGCAATGTCATTCCACTGACATGGCTGTGAGAGGTGAGAGCCAGGTGAACTTTGACTGACTCGACCTGCCTCGACTTGCCTGCCTCGACTTGCCTCGACTCGACTCGACTTGACTTGACTCCAAAACAGAATGCTGTTCTTTTCCATAACCACAGCCTGCTTTGGCTCCCAGAAAGCAAGACGACACTGTGCCAGCCAGCCAGAGACGAATTTGGCTGGCAGGCCAATTATAGACAACTGGCCACTGACCGCTCTGCTACTCGGTAGGAATTAGGCTACGGATTGCTGTGAGTGAAGGTGAAGCGCCCACTCGAGTACTGTAGCGGAGGAACAGGCATTATTATGCATGCCGCTACGCTGCTGACATGGATGTGAACAATACCGGTATGCAGCATGGCTGCAGCTGCAAAAGAAAGAGGTGAACCTTGGCTGTTTGACTTAGCTTCTCGCTTTCTGAGCAATGTCGCTCAACATATATGTCAACTAAGCTTGCTGACATGTGAGATGGTGGATTTATCATTTGTGGATGCAGTTGCAAAGCAACGACGTGAACCTTGGCAGTCTCCAGGCTGAATGTATTATTATGGCCAGTCCTGTCCATATTGTCGGTGCCGTGGCGAGTTACTGGAACATGTGGAGGACACAGGACACAGGACTCGCACATCGGGGGTATGGGGCAACTTCTGGATTTCGAGATACATGTAATGTGTTTCGAAATACGTATTTATGCGTAACTACACGTAACTGCACGTAACGGATCGTAATGGCACGTAACGGCACGTAACTAGAGTACATAAAATACCATAGTAAAACGTAACTGCAGGTAACGTAACTGCACATAACGTAACTGCACGTAACTGCTGTGTTATGAGACTGTTACCGTGCCGTGTTAAGTTGGTAAATCCTATAGTTGCCCCATACCCCGGATAGAAGGCAGTCGGCAAGTCCAAGTTTTTAAAAAGAATCGGCAGTGGCTGCTATTGCCCAACTTTGCAGATATGACACTTGGATTCTTATCACCAGCCCCAAGAAGCAACCAAAGTAATCCGGCTACCAACTTGCTTCTTGCGTACCTGGTAGCTAGCTAGCTAGTAGGCAGTAGTCTACACAATCGGTTCGCTCAGTAAATCAATCAGCAAATCAATCGGTAGCTAGCTAGCTGTGTGGGATAGCATGGAGTGGAGCCAGTGACAAGTCGAGTGAAGTCGCTCGGTCGAGTGGAGGAGCCGATGCTCTAGCTAGCTAGCCAGCTACTAGTAGACTTAGTCAGCCAGACTTGATGATGTGTCGATTGGTTGAATGATTCAAGTGTACCGTCTCCTTCACCCATTTTGCTGCATGCTTTACCTGGTACAGTAGAATGATTATGCGCAACAACGCAGTTGTCTCTGCACGTTGCTGTGTGAGCGTTCACCCAGCAAGGAATCATCTTGGTGTGGTGCCTTGCCCATGTACTGGCCTGACTCTTCAGATCCACGCTAGCAGCCAAATTCCAGCCACCTACTACCACCTAATTAGATAGCTACGAGACCAGAATGGCAGCATTGGCATGACACTAGTAGATCGATGGTTGTTCCTCCACGACAACCTGGTAGCCTTCTAGCTTTCACGAAACCGGGTTTTGAAAGCTGCAGAGGAACAGAGTCTTTTTGCTGATTCCGGCCGTCTGACCGTCCACCGTCAACCGGAATCTAGCCTCCACTCATCTACAGATCCAGGGGGATGGGCAAATCTCACTATAGCCCTGTAGTGTACTCAACAGGAGTGACTCAGAATGTCAGAAAAAGGATAAAATGAAGCTTTTAGCGGAAAGCAAGATTCAATTGGATTAGATTGCATTGGATTAGATTGAATTGGATTGAATTGGATTCCAAATATTACTGTTATTTGTATAGTAAACTGGAATTCAATGCAATCCAATTCAATTCAATTCAATTCAATCCGATCTAATCCAATAGAAAAATTGCATCCCAAAACAAATATTCGCTTTTTCACAGACACTTTTACAAAAAACGCTATCAAATACAATGCAGGGCAATCGGCAAGTTTGCTCATCCCCCAGAGACAACAAAGTAGCTTTTCCTCATAATCTTATAACATCATTCGTAATACATCTATCGCTACCTTTAGTCTCTTCAACAGATGTTATAAGATCCTTCTATACAACCAATACCACCACCGATCCGCTACACTGATCGAACGAACGGCACGAACGAACCACGAACACCTCGATCGAACGACACCACGAAGCACCTCTATCGAACGAACGGCACGAACGCACCTCTATCACGAACGAACGGCATCCGTCGACGAACGCACCTCTATCGATCGAACGGCACGAACGAACCTCTATCGAACGAACGCACGACGCACCTCTATCGCTCGACGAACGCATCGCTCGACGAACGCACCTCTATCCTCGAACAGAACGACAAAATACCCACCTCTATCGACCGCTCCTCGAATCCTCAAATCCTCGAACTGATACCGCTACCAGCTGATACCGCTACTAGCCAACAAACACCAACACCAACTACAATACCACTACCCACATATACACCACCTAGCACACACAGGCCTTAAACGTCCGACAAAGGGAACTAAATATACCCGTGTCGCCCAACTTCAAATCCAATTCTACACTCTCCTACAATGACTACCACTACACCAACTGAGGCAATGCCACACCCATCCTCACACCAATCATTGGCACAACCCTGACAGAGGAAGCTATCCCTCCTCCTCTCTCAGGTTCTTGCAAACACCAGAGCTATCTCCAGTGAGGACGTTGATGGCAGATTAGGCCACGACTACATCATTCTTGGCCAAGCAGCCTACAATGCAGCATCCCAAGGCAACGTTGCATTCGTCGTCCCGATAAAACCAGACAAACCCATATAACATGGTACATGCTGCCAACGCACCCAAGCACTCATGTACCGCCACGACCAAACCTACAAAAATGAACTGGATGCATGGAAATTATACCACAAAACAGAGGCCCAAATCCTCCAGCAGATTTTGGACGCCGTTAACGATACTTACACAAAGGCCCTCAAAGATCGCATGTGGGGATACGGCAACACCAGCCATTTGACATCATTACCCATCTAGTACCACATACGGTAAAATCACTGAGACTGATCTCCTTGCCAATCGTGAACTCCTCACCCAGCCTTGGACTCCACCCACAGACATTGAGGAACTCTTCGATAATATTAACACCTGCATCGCTTTCTCAGTAGAAGGCGGAGATGTCATTAGTGACCGCAACGCTGTCAGCGCCGGAATAGCCACTCTACAAGCCACGGGCCTATTCATTCATCCCATCCGAGAATGGAACAAGCGTACACCAGAAAACCGCACCCTCACCCACTTCAAAGAATTCTTTCGTGATGCCGAAAATGTCCGCCAGACCGAACCACTGTCAGCGCCGCAGGCTACCACCAACGAGCCAACGCAACTATCACGGACACCCAAACAGTTACACCGGGACTTCTACGCTCACCCAGCCACAACTGATCGACATAGCCACGATCACCAGGATCGTCCAAGAGTCACTTCGAGAATCCCAAGCAGCAAACGCAACCACCACCACCACCACCACCGATCGCCCAAACCGACGCTCCGCTACCAGAGCCAACACCTCGATCGTTGGTCTCACGGCAGCC